AATTAGGTTGGACTAGTATCACAGTTATGTGTAACAAAGTACATGCACTAAGTCAGTCATGTCATTATTTTTTGAGATACTTTTGACATATACCTCCCATTGTCTGTACAATACACTCAGTATGGATATTAACTGAAAAATATTGTTTACTTAGTCCAAATTGTACATCCTTTGATGAGCTTTAGTATTTAAACTGTACAGGTCTTGGGGGATTAGAAAAAAGGCGAGATGTGCTTAACTACATTAAACAAAAACATTTTTCTGTTTACTTTTTACAAGACACACATTTCACTATGAACAATTACAAAGATATTAGGTCTTTATAGGGTTATGATGTTTATTTATCTCCTGGGCAGTCCAATGCCAGAGGCACTGTAATCTTTTTTGATAATACTTTCGAATACAAAATTAAAATGAACATATAGATCAAGAAGGTAATCTGTTGGTATTAGAACTTAATGTGTTCAATAATATGACATCTTATTAGTTAACATATATGGTCCAAATACAGATAATCCAATTTTTTTATCAGTCAGTATCAGATATAGTTTCAAATTTACAAGGCGAATTTGTAATTATGGCTGGTGACTTTAATCTAGTTCAGGACACAAAATTGGACTACTGTAATTATATTAATATAAATAACAAAAAAGCTAGAGATATCGTCATAAATATGAAAGATATCCATGGTCTTACTGATCCCTGGAGAGTAAAACATGAACAGTGAAAAAGGTACACATGGTTTAAGACTAACCCTACAAAAAAGCGAGACTTGATTTTTTTCTTATGTCACAGGGTCAGGGTCTTGTTTTATTCAGTGAAAACAAAACTGGTTCGGTCTTCAATCATTTAATTATGGATACAGAAAAAAAAACCTAGAAAAAAGACAAACACGAAACATAAAGACATTTAAACGTTAACGAAAAGTAATTAAGATATTAATACGACTGCCAGAAGATCGTTACCTATATTTAACAAATAAATGAATTACAAGATTAATGAACATCTTACCAGGCATCCAGTATTAAAATCAAGAATAAAAAATACACATCGATTGAATCGATCTAAGGTATAACAAATAGTTACGTAATCTGTCACCGTAAAGGCACAAAAGCTTGGGGTGGGGAATTTGGCGGGTTTCCTACTTAATATAGTGCACGAGTTAGTAAAAACATGCATATAAATTAGTATAGTGAAATCCATTGGTTCATGGTAGGTCACTGGTCAGTCATACGTATAGGAATGCTAAAAATAGAAATTCACCTATACAAAACAAAACACTCGCACATGGCTCTCATATACCTGCAAAACCGGTTGTATTCGATTGGCTATGCGCGCCAATCGGAATACGATATTAAGTATTTCGCAAAGCATATACTAGTATTTAATAATAATAATAATTCAATTACAACTGTGACACTTAGTTCCCAATGAATTGATGGCATTAGTAGATAAGGTCGATATAAAGTCAGGGTACAGGTCTGACCACTCATTGATTGAACTCTACATCAAATTCACTAAATTTTTAAGAGGAAAAGGTTTTTGGAAATTCAAGAATTCTCTTTTAAAAGACCATCTTTATATCAATTGTGTTAAGGAAACAGTTACAATATGCTGCCACTCATTAATAACCCCTCAGCAATTAGTTCTGTGGAGGACAGAGAATTATGTTTTTGCATTGATGATCAACTTATTTTTTGAACAGTTATCATCATGCATAAAAGGTGCAACAATATGTTACTGCTCTAGAAAAAAAGGAAATAAAAAAATAAAACTATTAAATCTCTCGAAGAAAAAAATTAAGTACTTAGAACCCTTAAGAAATAATAATGAATCACATGAACTGTTGAAAAATTAAATAGAGCCCAGAACAGGCTTGAAGAATATCTGAAGAATATATTAAAAGTTTATTTGTTAGAACAAAATTAAAATGGATTGAAGAGGGAGAAAAACCTATGAGGTATTTCCTTAGCTTGGAAAAAAGGAACTATGTTAATAAAATTATAAGCAAAATTAATCAAAGCAATGGTAGCGTTATTACTTCCCAATCCGAAATCTTATCAGAAATTGATTTTTTTTTTTTTTACAAAAACCTATATACCTGTTGCGACAACAAGCTAATTGATGTAGACTTAGAAACCATTATCAATAAAGAAGATATATATACTTTGGACGAAAACTTGTCTAATACATTGGAAGGTATCATAACTCAAGAGGAAGCCCTCTCTGCTTTAAAAGATATGAAATATAATAGGAAACTTTTTAATAAGGTCAATGAATTTAGGTTTTCTAACAGGAGAGCTATCAGTAACCCAGAAACAAGGTATTATATCCATTTTACCAAAGGGAGATAAACAGAGAGAATTTCTTAGTAATTGGCGTCCAATGTCTCTCCTTAACGTAACACATAAAGTTGCATCTGCATGCATTGCAAATAGATTTTAAAAAGTTCTTGACTCCTTAATTAATCAAAACCAAAAAGGCTTTCTCAATGGTAGATTTATTGGATAGAATACACGAATGATTTACGATGTAATTAATACAGTACATGAAAAACATATTCTGGTATGATATTACTTATTGACTTTGAAAAAATCATTTGACTCCATATCATGGAAATTTACGTTTAATACTTTGAAATTTTTCATGTTTGGTCCTGACCTTAATAATGGGTTTCAGTATTATATAATAAAGTTAATCTATGTGTTATTCAGAATGGTATTTTTTTCATTTTTTTTTTTAAACTAATACGGACTGTCTTCAAGGTGACCCAGTATCTCCTTACCTCTTTAATCTTTGTGTAGAAATTTTAGGACACATGATTCGACAGAATAAAATTTCAAAGGCATTAAAATTGGGAAGGAAAAGTTTGTCTTATACAACATGCAGATGACACAGTTCTTTTTCTTGATGGATCAGAAAAGAGTCTTAAAAGTGCGCTGGATCTTCTTTTTCAATTTTCAAAATGTTCAGGTTTAAAGCCGAATATTTCAAAAACAAAAGCGTCTGGATTGGTTCTAAAATAAACACAGAAAATACAATCTGTATGGGGACAGGATTATAATGGACAATTGAACCTTTTACTGTTCTTGGTATAACGTATACTGCAAATCTTAAAAACATAGAGGAACTTAATTTCGACAAGAAGTTTTAACTTATTCAGAAAGAAATAAACCATTGGTCAAAAAGAAATATTACCCCTTTAGGAAAAATAACAGAAGTAAAAAGGTTGTTCCTATCAAAGTTTACTCATGTATTCATTTCTCTTCCAAAACCAAGTTTGCAGTGGATACAGAATTTCGAGAAGAAAAAAAACCTTATACAAATTCATATGGGGAAACAAAATTGATAAATTTTTTCGAAAATTATTACAATTGGATTTCGGAAATGATGGATGTAGAATTACCAATATAGAAACATTTATTAAATCTCTTAAGCTAACTTGGATTAGGAGAATTTTAACAACTAATTCAGACTGGTGTAATATTTCTTTTTCTTAAATTACAGGAAGTAATACTACCAAGTTATATTATGTAGTGTTAGGTCTGAATACAGTAAACAAAGGGCAAAAATTACACAAAATATTTTTGGAAAGAACCTCTATATCATTTTATAGAATTTTTAGAAAGTTTTCATTTAAATTCATTGTGTGAACCACTGCCGTATGATAATATAATAAAGATTCAAAATAAATATGTATTTTGTAAGCAAATGTTTGATAAAGGGTTCCACATAGTACATGACCTATTCGATATAGAAGGTAATTTTATTAGTTATGAAAGTATCACAAATGATTATTTAGTAAAGTTACCATTTACCACATATGAGGGTCTGAAGCAAAGTATTTTGAGTGCATGGCCAAATATCAAGCAATAGTCATATAATACTATTGTCAAACCATATCAACCTGAATTTATAAAAATACTTTGTAAGAACAAAAAAGGATCCTGAAATATTTATGATTATTTAATTTCAAAAACACAGCACAAACCAATTTGTGAAAACAAATGGGCTACTGATCTAAAGTAAGAGTCAAATTTCAACTGGAAACATGTTTATGCATACTTTAAATTGATAACAAAAGACTCAGGACTTATGTGGTTTAATTATAGAATTATTCATAGAATATTAGGTACTAATAAGTACTTATATTTGTCTAAAATTAAAAATTCACCACTTTGTTCAATATGTAAATTAGAACCAGAATCAATTCACCATATATTTTTCTACTTTCCACAGATTTCTATGATTTGGCTAGAATTGTCAGATTGGATTTTTCAAAAGTCTGGTAAAAAAATTGAATTTGATGTGAAAACTGTTATTTTTGGTTATCTGGAAAAAGATTACATGGTAATAAATTTGATAATCCTGTTGGTGAAGAAATACTTATTTCAACAATCAAGAAAAAACAATAATATTGTCTGTAATGAAATTCCAAAATGTTTTAACAATTATTATACTTTAGAGGAAAAAATGTCAGAAAATACATTTTATAAAAATAGATGGTCCAAGTGGAAATGTCTTTTTAATGTGTCTAATAGTAACTCTTAATATTATGAATGATTATGTATTGTTTATCGGGTATTTATGTTTATTTGTGTATATATATATATATATATATATATATATATATATATATATATATATATATATATATATATATATATATATATATATATATATATATATATATATATATATATATATATGTGTGTGTGTGTGTGTGTGTGTGTGTGTGTGTGTGTGTGAGGGTGTGTGTGTGTGTGTACATATATATGTATGTATCTGTCCAACAGGTATGAGAGTTGGAGAGAGAGGTGTATATGTTTTGCAAGTACAAAAATTAAAAAAAAAGTAAAAAAAAAAATAGTTTAGGAATCCACAAAAATTTGCTAATTCGAGATCAAATTGACTGTTGGAAATATCAAAAATATCTACAACAGACATGATTTTGAAGAATTTCCTCTTTAGAAAGAAAGCAATTGGTATAACTTGGATGGATGCCTCTGTGTCAAGATTTGAGGGGGTTGCTACTGGTAGAGATTGAAAGATTTTGCTTGGGTGCTGCTGTGCTCAGCACTGAGGTGAATGACGGGAAAGTTACATTTATCAATGCTGACGTAGATGCTGACATAGTAAGTACCACTACCGATGTGGACTTCACATGTTGCATTGACCTAATTACCTCTTTAATTGGAGTGAAGATAGGGCCTTTGAGGTTTTTGGCTTTATCGCAGCCCTCCACCATAACATGTATGTAAGCTTTCACTTGCGTTTTCTCTTCCCGCGTGACGCAGTGGTTAAAGCATTTGCTCTAGAGTATTGATCCTTACGTCGCTGGTCGCGATCCCACTGCGGGACTTGTAGACCAGTCCTTCGGATAAGACCGTATAAACGAGGTCCCCTGTCCCAGTAGGTGTAGGCACAAAAAAAGATCCATCACTGCTCAATGATCCTCACTGGCTGGTATAGGTCTAAATCTGCAGCCCTCCACCATTGTGGCGTCTCGATATGAGTGATAGGTTCTCGGGACGTTAAACAGTCAAGTGTTTTCTCTTGAAATATTTAGCATTTTTTTTAATAACAACATCGGTTTTTTAAATGTCAATGAATTAAATTCATTACAGTTTTTTATCAGTGCACGCGGACCCACGCGCCAACACACGTATCTGGTACTTTTCATGACACCCCTCCTCCAGTACACCCATTTTATGGTATTTAAGTTAAACTTCAAAAACGTTCTTAAAAATAACAGAATACCTTTTTAATAATTAAAAATACATATAACAAATATTAGATTCTAACTAACTTGTGTAAATCAAGATTACTTACTCACGTAATAATACAGTTATAATGCAGTTGTAAGGAATTTTAGCAAAATGCGGAATTATAAGTTCAATACATGAGCGCTTTATTAATATCTGAGGGTCCCGTGACGTTCTAACTAAATACCAGATTAAACATTCTGATATGTATACTTAATTATTATTAAAACAGTAAATGGAATATATCGTTATTGAACTTATATATGTGAATATTGGCACGAGTTGGCTGTAAAGCTCCTGCATTTGAACAGCCAACGAGTGCCGATATTCACCGATATCAGTTTATTATATAGCTAAAACATCTCCCATTCGTTTACATTAATTATTTCAACTAAATAACCCAAATTAACAAGAATTTTCAGTATCGGTATTTAAATTACCGTCTGTCCTGTAAGTGTTCAATATCGCATCATTCCAATGACCCTACCAAGCGTTATGATATACTTATTGAGCTTTTATTGAGGCTAATACATATTGAATTATTAATTTATTATTTCAGTTTTGTGTGAAAATTAAACAAATCTTACGTAGCTGCCACTACCTGTCTTGAATTTGCCTTTAAGAGGTTGACCAGACGACATTTTGTGTTTACATTAGAGCGTTCGACATTGAACGCTCGTATTCGGAATGTTTCGGGAATACTCATATACGTAATACAAACTCAGCTTTCAAAAAACGCCAAGATAATGAACTCTAAAATTCTCTAGACTTTTAATATTTTTTTTATGATAGACTATTTATTAGCTATATAACAACATTTTTTTTTCGAATATTTATATTTGTAAGAATAAGGTCTTACGGACAGCTCTTCTATATCATTCATTTCTGAGTTTTCGAATAGTAAAGAAATCTGTGTATATACCATGAGAGTGCATGTCAATAATTTTATTGCACAATCACCCAACCATACCTACCTATTTATGAGCACTACATGTTAAAAAACTTCCTTGTTTACCTATGAACTGATCAAGACATACTTGTTATGGAGTAAGAATGATTTTTTCCATCAGCATAAACGTCAGGAAACTTTTGATTTTATCGGGAGTTGTCTGTTCCTCTGGATATGGTGCGTGAAATCTTTTTTTAATCCAGAAAACTGTATGAAGGTTGTGTCTGATTTTTGATAAGCAGTATACATATGAACTCTGTATGTGGTTTATTTTTCTTTAAATATTATAATTCGTAGAGAATAAAGTTCTCATAACATTATTGCTTTTTTAGTTTATATATTGCATTTATAATACGTGTATAATTGAACCTATATCATTGAGTTAGAACATGCACAGGAATATTTATTCCTTATAGAAATAACTGCGGCTTCCTTTAAAATCCTAATACACATTTACTTATAGCCGTAGTTGATATTTTTTTAAACGTATGGCCTGTTAATCAAAGAGAACACTATAAAAAAATAATAAATGCTTTAAAAAGCCTTCCGTACAGCAGCAACCTTTTTTTAAAAAACAAAATATTTACGGATTTTTTCTTATTTATTAAACTTAAGTATAGCAGTAATAATACATGTAAATAGTACTTTGCAATCTGTCCTTATTTAAAAATTTTGGAATGATTCTAAATCAAAAGCCAATGAAAGAAATAAATTCTAATGAAGTACATTTGATTTGACAATGAACAATATATCATATAAGTACCAATGCATACTCAGTTCGTGCTTATATATATATATGCATTTTGCTTCTATTAATTAAATACCGAATTATGCATGTTCTCTACAACATTAAGATGCTTCTTAATAAATGTAATGCAATTTTTCTGAAATATTCTCAAATAGAAGAATCAGTGTAGTTAGGTCTACGTTGATTTTTAAGCATAGAGGATTATTTATTCTTTCAGACAGACTGCCTTTTCAGTTTGTTTAAAGGTAGAAAAATATTTTGAAATTTAAAAAAGTTCTTTTTTTTCAATATAGATGTCTTAACAAATGGAGGAAAAGCATATCATAAACCTCCTACCACACAATGTTCAAACAATTGTGCCTTTTATGCAGCTGATAAAGCAGTAGATAGAAACAATGACACTTGCACGAGAACAGATATTATTGGTCCAACAGCACAGAAGAAAGAAGTATTTTGGTATGTAGATCTCGGAGACATCTACAACCTCTACGACATTGCCATACAGTTTAAAGATTATGGTTCAAAACATGGTAAGTTTTTTTTTTCTTATAAAGATATAGAACATACTAAAAACGTGTGGTTTGCATTTAGCATCATTGAAGATGTACATATAAATAAATATTAGTGACTAATTATTTATTTGCTACTGGTATTATATATATTTCATACAACTGTTTTCAACGAAAAAAAAATTAATTATTATTCAACAATCCCCGACATTTGTGACCAGAGAGAGATTTCAGTCTGTCTACTAACAATCTTATCACTGTCTACATGTACCATCGGTTCATGCATTCACGTGTCTGAAAGAGAAATGAATGACAACTCTGCATGGGAGATTGCAACTTGAGTTGATGTGAAAACAATTTTACTACACCGATCCTGATGTATTTTTAAAAATTTATAAGTTTGTCTTGTAACTGTATTTTTACAGTGTCATGAGCTCATAAACATGTGATATAAATGCTAGTTATGAAAAATCCATCTCTCAAAATTCATAAGTCAAATTTTAAATATACCTTTCGATTATTTAATGTAGAACAATAGGCAATATGCTATTGTAGGAGGGATTTCACGCATGGATTTTTAAAATAATATGTTATCATTACATATATAAACTGTACACATTGTATATAGCAAAAATTTCTGCGTTAGAGCTCTGTCATTCAGTAACCTTTCTTGACCTTTCCGTCCCCATTCAGTTAAAAACATTTGTAATTCAGAAATTTGATACAACAGATTAAATTCGTATAAACAAAATCTAAAATTTGATATCATGAATGAAATTCGTTTATACTTATTATAAAATTTGACATAATGAATTAAATCCGTATTGTCATTCAGGTTCCATAGTGCTATATTTATGATTGAACGAATTGCCAAATTGAATCAATTAATATAAATTTGTCATATGTTTCAAGACCTCTTTTCAATAATTTAATTATTTATAATAAATTCGTTTTAACGAATTTTATCTCTTTTCGGTTGTTTTCGATAGACACGAGTTTAGTAAGAGTTATTTCCCGTTGGTCGCCATATTGGAGGTATACAAGCCCGATTCCCTTCATTATTCAACCAATTTAAACTTCTCATACTGGGCAATTGGGTGAAAAACACAATTTTTCTTAAGAATTTATGTTAACACAAGCTTCCTTTAATTCGTAATTTTGATTTTCAAAAGATTTTTGCCCTTATATTTCTGCCATACAAGTTTAAAATTGGTTGCTCAAAGAGGAAACTTCGCTAGTTGTACCTCCAAGATGGGGGGGGGGGAGCAACGGGAAATAACTCTTGCTAAATTCAGGCCTATCGAAAACTAACTATAGCAAATTTTTGAATCCAACAGATTAGGTATAACAGGTTAAATTATCTATAAGGAAAAAAAAATAAATTCGTTGTTATAAATTTGAAAATATCAAATTCAGAAATATTGGTTTAAGGTCCAAAATTGGCTTCCGTATTCAAGTAATTTCCCCATGGGGTTAAAGAATGAATATCCTCCAATCCGCTATTGAATCATGCACACCTTATACATTACATGGGTAAAACTGTACTTCAATCACACGACATATACAACTTGGTTTTGTTCAGGAAATTGAATCGTTTACTACTGAACAAGAGACATATTATTTAACATCAAGGTACTTGTAGTCCATTTTAGCTAGCACCAGAACGAACTATTAATTTTTGTAGAAGACAGACAAAGAGGCCGCTTTGCAGGCTTTTCCCTTTACCTGTCCAATACTACTAGAAAAGAAGATGGTCATCTGTGTTATAAAGACGGACCACAGTTACCTCCCTTAGATTTCAAAACAAGATGTATTGGACATGCCTCTCATGTAATATTTTACAACGAACGATTGGATGGGACTGTTTATCCTCCCGGATATGAATCACTTGTTTTAACACAATTATGTGAAGTAATAATAAGAGGTGGGTTGATAACCAACATTTTCCCCCAAATTAATGAGATCACTGACATTGCACATGCCTGTCAGAAACTTGAAATTCAACTCATAATATATTTCGTGAAATAACGCTGTAAAGGATAAATCTTTGACATAGTGTGCATTTTATTGAGTCTTTGATAAACTGTAATATTTATCAACACTGTTCTACCTTTAAGTGCTTGACATGTATAAATTGTTACAAGGTGATAAAATATTGACTGTTTGTATCTTATGGGAAAAATGTTTTAATAATACTAGTAAGTGTTCTTTCAGGTTGTGCAGATCGAGGAACTTACGGTGAAACGTGCGAATTGAACTGTTCTGAACACTGTCAAGAGAACAGGTGTGATATCATAAATGGAACATGCCTGGGATGTATGGCTGGATGGACAGGAAAGTTCTGTCAAACACGTATAATCTTCATGAATATATATCCTGTATTTAATAATGTTTAGGTTGTGGACTGTTATGATTCAGGAATTAATACATTTTGTTTATAGCATGTGAAAGTGGATCATATGGTGTAGAATGCAAACATCAGTGTGGAGGGCATTGTAGAGATGGTCATACTTGTAGCCCTGTAACAGGAAACTGTGATAAAGGATGTGCTTCCGGATGGACTGGGTCACTGTGTAATGAATGTAAATTTCTCAAAAAAATAAATGTCATATATGTAAGAATTAACGTCATATCTATTTTAAAACTGCTTTCATTTTCAAACTACCGTCACGGTAGCTCCATTGGTAGAGCGCTCGCTCCGTGATCGGAAGGTCGTTGGTTCAAACCTCGGCAGAGACTGACCTAGGCCGATAAAATACAAATGGCCCATGGGCCATACCATTCACATTGGCTAGATAAGGCAGAAATCAGTTTGACATTAAAAGAATTAAATATATGTGATCGCAAATAACCCTTCCTACACCGGAAAAGTAGGCATAATTTATTTATACTTGAATCTACACTACCTGCCTTCTTTGACTAATCAAGGCTTTAGAAACTTTTTCTTCTATATGTTTGAGCTTTTGTAGCCCTGCCCTATCCCCAGGTAAACACAATTTGAACAAACTTGAATCTACATTATTTCAGGAAGCATTCACATAAGTTTTATCTTTTCTGGCCCAGTGCCTCTTAAGAAGATTTTAATAACCCCACCCGATTTTTACTTTTTAAAAATTATCTCACCTTATAAGATGCGTGGCCCTTCATTTGAACGAACCTGAATCCCCTTTACCCAAGGATACTCTCTGCCTAGGTTGGTTGAAATTGGCCCAGTGGTTCTGTAGAAGAAGATAAAAATACAAAAAGTTAACGACGACTACGACAAACAAATTTTGATCGGAAAAGATCACTTGAGGCTTCGGCTCAGATGAGCTTAAAATAGGTAGCAACTGTTCCTTCACCAAGCGCTCGGCACTTTAAAGTGAACGTAGCGGGGCTTTTGGATGAGACCTTAAAAACCGAGGCCCAGCAGGCGTTCGCACCATAGAGATCCCTCACTGCACAATGGCCCTGTCTAAATTTGCAGCCCTTCGCCGGTTTATGGTAATGTCTCTGTAAGGGTTCAATATCATCGAGTTGTACGTAAAACATCGCATGTATTAAAGTCATTAGGAATATAATGATGATCGAATACTCTTTTTACTGAATACATTTCTTTTAAATTGATATTTAATGATTAAAAACAGAGGAAGATAATCCTTCAATGACAGGTCAAGTCGAGGCCATACTTAAAGCTGAATACGATATGTATAAGTAATTTTTCCATCATATTCTTTTACAAGCCAAAATATCCATCTATACCAACGAATTAGTAACAAAGAACGGAGTATAGTAAACCATATCATGTAAAGACAAATACATGTACTTAAAGAAGCTCAAACAAAACACCCATATTCATATATACCTTTAATAAGATTACACTGTAATGCTTTTTTGTCTTAAAAAGAAAACTTTGCTCATTTGTTATGGTAAATCCTGAATGTATTTCTTTTTGGTGAGTTTATTTAACAAATTACAATGACAGCTTGTATCAGCGGTCGTTATGGTTCAGATTGTGTCTTCAACTGTAGTGGACATTGTTTAAATAAATCCCCTTGTAACCGGACAAATGGACATTGTGACTCGGGTTGTAGCCCTGGATATACTGGACCATTTTGTACTAAAGGTATACCTTAATTATTGTGAAGGTTTTCAAAAAAAATATGACAAGCATTTAAATCATTGAATTGATTTATGATATTTCCTCTTCCATGCCCTCAGAATGTACAGCAGGAGAGTTTGGAAAAGGATGCAAAAATCCCTGCAGTGGACACTGTTTGAATGAAGTACATTGTAATCACGTGGACGGGACTTGTCGATATGGTTGCGAAGATGGGTATTTTGGACAACAGTGTTTTAACGGTAATGTATTCCTTTTTTTTTTCATTTTAAGATGTTAGTACGTATACAATGTTTTAATTGAGAATGTCCCTTAATTCGTCTGTGCCCTTTTTAAAGCTTGTACACCCGGTCTCTTTGGAAGAAATTGCTCCACTGAATGTTCTACAAATTGCCATGATACCTGCCGAAATACTGATGGTTTTTGTGTGTGCAAGTCTGGATTCATGGGTCCTCCATATTGCAGCACAGGTAACCACGTAATATTTTAAATAACGATACTTGATTCTATCATTTTTCTTGCTTCGTGAAAGGAGTGCATTTAAGAAATACTTCTAAGCATATCATATTTCATACAATTTGTTTGATAACGTTTCATTATACAGTCGTTCAAATCATTCGATTGAACAACAGCATTCATTGAATCTAATTTTTAAAAAAATTATTCATAAATGTTCTTTACGTTAGATGCAGTAATATAATTATTACAGGGTGTCCGAAAAATCGGTTTGGCAAAAACTGTGTAAACTCCTGTAAATCTGACTGTGTCAATAATACATGTAATAGATTCAACGGAAGTTGTGCTTTGGAATGCATGGATCTATTTTTTGGAGATATGTGCAATCAAGGTGAGAGTGAACAACATATTTATTTAATTGATTAAACAGCTACATAATATAGATTTATGCATGTATATAATGATTTGGCATTTGATTTGATGAATATCTTAATGCAGTTGAGTAGAAAATTATTTTACTCATTGTTTAAATAGAGACTTCTCCAGTTCATCCCCAAAGCTATTCGGCAGAGGCACTGACCATTGGAGGGCTTCTTGGAGGATTAGCTGTCGTGTCTATCCTTTCTGTTTTGATTGCTCTATATAGACGGTAAGTATCCCCCTCCCTCATTTTTTTTCATACAAGCATGCAAGTTCATAATCAGTTAGCAAGTCAACAATTTTTAATTGATTAATATAAGAACTCGACTAATTGCATTACTACAAGTTTCCGAACAATTATGACCAACATTTACATCAACTAGAGCGAACTATACATTCTACACTTTCACGTTTTGTTTACTCATGTGACTGTATTTTATTTTTCATGTTTTATTGCAGCGAACTCATTTTGAAGATTTGTAAAGGAAAAACACAGAATTCGGAGACATACACCAATATATGCAATATACGACCATCAAAAGACTACATGCACAATTACCAAGAATTAACCATAGCTGGAGATAAAAATGATTATGCAAACATTGAATTGAAAACTTTATAGATGAAACCTGTCTTTTAGTCAATACACACATGTACATCTAAATTGTGCTCTCTGTTTTCATCTCTGCCCTTTTTTTTTCATTTTAACTTTTAATAGAAATTTTGCTAAAAATCAACGGTCAATTTTGATAGAAAATGTTTTTGATATAGTAACTTCAATATATTCTGAAGCACAGGGCTTCAACTTTTTTTATCGGCCGCAGCAGCAGCCAATCTTTTAGTAAGTGTGTTAGAATGTACACATTGGGGAAATAAGAAGTTATCTATTCATTGCATCATAGGAAAAAAAACATATATTGACAGCATACTTAAAAGTTGTGAATAAAAGATTTTTTTATATGCTTAATATTAAGTCTAAATGATTGTTCTAACGTTTAAGTTTGTTTTTCATTTCTCATGAGATATTTATTAATTTACGATTCAATAAAAAGTTGTTACATGAACTGCTACCCAACATGAATGTAAGATAAAAAAACAAACTTATTGAATTTCCGAATATGAATAACAATGTAAAAAAAAAATAAATAAATAAATAAATTATGAAACATTTAAGAAGAACCGAATTTTGTTTTGAATACACTACATTTACAAATGACATGATGATTTTTTTTCTGCACTTGACTCAACATGTGAAGTTTGTCCCTTTTTGTCAGCATTTAGATAAATGTATTTGTAGCATTTGTCTTTGAATCAGAATCATAATTTGACTTTAATACATTCCTATTCTTTATTCAGTCTGATTATTTAATTTCATTAATATTTAACAATTGATCACTGAAAATTAAAATATAAAAAATAGAAGAAATTAAAAAGTAAAGCAAGTATAGAAATGTTTCATATAACTTTTCTACTGGTAATGTTTTTTCCTTGGACTCTTACTTGTAGAAATACTTTAAAATGCTTGATACAATTTTGCGGCCGATTCGATGCTTTGCATCAATTTAACTTGTGCATATTTAATGACTCAAATCTGACGTTACATGGCAACACCTTAGTGTCAAAAATGAATTTTTAATTTTGAATTTTTCAACATGAACAAAATTAATCACACTTTAAATACAAACATTCTGTGTGTCTTGAAAAAGAGGTATTCTTTTAAAAATTTTGATCAGCTGGTTTACCATTTTTGCTCCACATATATTTTTAAAGGGCTCTAATTTGCAGTTATCTACTTTCTTTACGAAGTTTGTCATGACAAGTAGATGACCTCGTATAAATTTAAGGGCAAAGACAGTGTGTTTACAGCTCTAATTATTTTAAATAGTAAATGTTCAATATCTTTAAAGATAAAACAACCTTAAATTGTGAACAATCTCTAAATTCCACGCATAGCCTGACCATGACAGAGGATCGTCCTATTGATTTACAGGTGGATTTTTACATATTATCATACTTTATCTTGCTTTTTTTTTTCTTTTTTTTCGAATAAAATTTACCGTAATTTGGAGAAAAAATGAGTGAACTTAACGCCGCTTTTTGGATCTTTTTGACATTCCTCTACCAAGCTATATATGACGAAAATCAAAAATAATTTACAAGTATTTTCAAAATCAAGTAAATCTATGGGCACATTGTGCATGGACAGCAATAAATTTTGACATTCATATAATTTTTATAAATGTTGATTAGAAAACAGTATTGATTGTTTAAAGTGCTTGTCACGGACGTCTTTTGCAAATATTTTAAATATCAATTATTAAATTATTATAGTTTATACAAAGATATGATATCATACACACAAACACACACAAAATCAGTCAAAGTGCCATCTTTACCCAAGGGATCTGAAATTGACAGTACCTCCAGGAGATGGTAATCTATGCAGAATTCTGTCACCAGTCAAGATGTTGTTCATCAATGACTCTTGTTAACTTGATCATTCACTTGAAATAACCCCATCTCCATGAAACTTTGGCAATGACACTTTGAGTAGAAATTCACAGAACGTTTTCGTAAAAATAGTAAACAAAAAATGACTATTTTAAATTAAACAATAATCTCAATATCTTTATGAAAATAAACAACTACATGTATTTACCTGTTTCATTTTTATTTTGCTACCCTCATGTTTATTATTCATGTAGTCCGGGACAGTAGGATTACATATATATATGAGGAAGCACGCTCATTGATGTATTTGAGAAATAAAATTTATCCCTCTTGACTCCAAACAAAAAGGAAGAAAATTACGATCGAAATGAATATGTATATATACAGCTGAAATATGGAGATCAAGCACAAAAATGCATTGAGACAATATAAATTGGGAGCAGAGCAAACACGGAGCTCTAAAAAACATCAGAGGTGGGATCAGGTACAAAGGGGGGGGGGGGGTGGGAGCATCCAATGTCGACCCATCACACTCACCGTGTGCTCTTGGCATGATCGGAAAAATCCGTAGACAATTCTGAGTGTAAATAATAGCCCAATAATTTGAATGGAAAATTTTAGTCAGCATTCGACTTCATAATAGATTTTATTTGCTGACATCGTCGTTGTATTGACCATAGATTTTGCAAAATGATGATTTGAAATCAGACCGTTGATTTTCTTGTTTTATCAACTTGCTCGTCATAAGCTTACCTCGGTTAAGAATTCAATCGGAACGCTGAAAATTCCAGAGGTGGGGTCAGGTGCCTAGGAGGAGTAAGCATCCCCTGTTCACCGGTCACACCCGCCGAGAGCCTTATGAATTGACCAAGATCCATTGCATAGTCAAGTCTAGTATAAAACAAAGGTTTTATATTTAGTATGAATCCAGTCAGCCAAAATACGACACAATGATAAGTTGTATGTACTAACAAGGTCATTTTAACGACCACAGAATTTATGAAATGCTGACTTTAAACGAGGATGTTGAAATCCCTGTAACATCAACTTATTTGTAAATTTTTATTCAAATATTTTTTGGTTATTTTTATTTAAAAAAATATATTTTCTATTTTTTTATTTATTAGCATAATAATTTATAACAATTTTACATTTATTTCAATAATTTTTATTGAAGAAGACGGATACTCAATGCTATTTTTCTTTCAAATTATTAACTTACTTTTGATGGTCATAAATTTAAAGAACATCCAATAATTAGATTGGAATTTAATCTGCACACAATAGTTTGATAGGCTTAATTTTGGTCAGATGCCATTTTCAATTGACCAATGTGCGAGAAAAATATAGTGATAGAATGATTGAAGATGACGCTGGTGCTTAGGTACTCCTTACTTCATCTTCAAAAAATTTCTTGATTGACTTCTCCCGAGCTAAAATAGCCTGTCTTCAAACTCCCTAGGAACAAATATTTTATTTATTTTTCTAATTTCGTTACATGTACCAACTCTTGTAATTTCACTAATATCCACAATAATTGAAATTTAGCATTGATGTAAAATTTCTTACCTACCGTCATTTTTGTTATACCCTTAGTCGAGTGAGGACAAACAAACATTCTTTAATAGATTGCCTCACCTAATCCATATTTCCAGGATAAGCATAACATGTATGTAAGCATTCACTTGCGTTTTCTCTTTCCCGCGTGACACATTGGTTAAAAAATTTGCTCTAGAGTATTGATCCTCACGTCCCGGGTCCGGATTTAACTGTGGGACTTGGAGACCGGTCCTTCGGATGAGACCGTATAAACGAGGTCACCTGTCGCAGTGGGTGTAGGCACAAAAAAGATCCATCACTGCTCAATGATCCTCACTGGCTTGTATAGGTCTAAATTTGCAGCCCTCCACCAGCACATTGTGGCGTCTCGATATGAGTGATAAGTTCTCGGGACGTTAAACAAGCAAGTGTTTTCTCTTGAAATATTTATTAATATTTTAATAACAACATCGGTTTTTTTAAATGTCAATGAATTAAATTCATTGTAGTTTTTATCAGTGCACGCGGACCCAAGCGCCAACACACATATCTGGTACTTTTCATCCCTCCTCCAATACCCCCATTTTTATGGTATTTAAGTTAAACCTCAAAAACGTTCTTAAAAATAACAAAATAGCTTTTTAAAAATTACAAATACATATAACAAATATTAAATTCTAACTAACTTGTGTGAGGTAAGATTAGTTACGTAATAATACAGTTATAATGCAGTTGTAAGGAATTTTAGCAAAATGCGGAATCATAAATTCAATTCATGAGCGATTTTTAATTTCAGACGGTCCCGTGACGTTCTAATTAAATATCAGATTAAACATTCAGATATGTTTATTTAACAATTATTAAAAAAGTAAAAGGAATATATGGTTATTAAACTTACATTGGTGAATATTGGCACGAGTTGGCTGTAAAGCTCCTGCATTTGAACAGCCAACGAGTGCCAATATTCACCGATATAAGTTCAATAACTCCTTTGTTATATCGCTAAAACATCTCCCATTCATTAAGATTAATTATTTCGACTAAAGAACTCAAATTAATAAGAATTTTCAGTATCGGTATTTAAATTACCGTCTGTCCTGTAAGTGTTCAATATCGCATCATTCAAATAACCCTACCAAGCGTTAGGATATACTTATTGAGCTTTTATTGAGGCTAATACATATTGAATTATTAATTATTTCAGTTTTGCGTGAAAATTAATCAAATCGTACCCAACTGCCACTACCTATCATAAATTTGCCTTTGAGAGGTTTGCTAGGCGACATTTTTTTGTTTTACATTAGGACTTTGATATTGAACGCTCGTATTCGGAATGTTTCGGGCATACTCATATACGTAACACAAAGTCAACGTTCAATAAAACGCCAAAATATTGAACGCTAAAATTCTCTAGACTTTTAATTTTTTTTTCTTATAGACTATTTATTAGCTATAAAATGACATTTTTTTTTATCGAATTCTTTTATCGAATACATTAATATTTGTAAGAATAAGGTCTTACGGACACTCTTCTATATCATGCATTTCTGAGTTTTCGAATAGCAAACATATCTGTGTGTGCATGTCAATAATTTTATTGCACAATCACCCAACCATAGCTACCTATTTTTGCGAACTACATGTTAATAAACTTCCTTGTTTACCCAGGCACTGATCAAGACATACTTGTTATGGAATAAGAATGATTTTTTCCATCAGCATTAACGTCAGAAAACTTTTGTTTTTATCGGGAGTTGTCTGTTCCTCTGGATATGGTGCGTGATTTTTTTTTAATCCAGAAAAATGTATGAAGGTTGTGTCTGATTTTTGATAAGCAGTATACACATGAACTCTGTATGTGGTATATTTTTCTTTAAATATTATAAGTGAAAGAGGATAAAGGTCTTAAAACATTATTGTGGGGTTTTTTTTGTTTTTTTTTTTTTTTTGTTTTTTGCTTTTTTTTTTTTTTTTTTTTGATTTTTTGGTTTCATACATTGCATTTATAATACGTGTATAATTGAACCTATATCATTGACGGAGAACATGCAGAGGAATATTCATTCCGTATAACAATAACCGCGGCTTCCTTTAAAATCCTAATACGCATATACTTATAGCTGTAGGTGAAATTTTTTTAACGTATGGCCTGATAATCAAAGAAAACACTATATGAATAAAAAAATGCTTAAAGAGGCCTTCCGTACATATATATGTTAAGGCACTTATAATGGAGCATTGTTTCTTTGAGTTAAGATAGGTCTTTCTTACAAGGATTTATGCATTTTGCTTCTATCAATTAAATACCGAAATTGCATGTTCTCTCCAACATTAAAATGCATCATAATAAATGTAATGCAATTTCCTGAAATATTACCAAATAGAACAATCATTGTAGTTAGTTCCACGTTGATTTTTAAACAAGTAGATTATTTATTCTTTCAGACAGACTGCCTTTTCAGTTTGCTCAAAGGCATAAAAATTTTGAAATGAAAAAAAAGTTCTTTTTTTTCAATATAGATGTCTTAACAAATGGAGGAAAAGCATATCATAAACCTCCTACCACGCAGTGTTCAAACAATTGTGCCTTTTATGCAGCTGATAAAGCAGTAGATAGAAACAATGACACTTGCACGAGAACAGATATTATTGGTCCAACAGCACAGAAGAAAGAAGTATTTTGGTATGTAGATCTCGGAGACATCTACAACCTCTACGACATTGCCATAAAGTTTAAAGATTATGGTTCAAAACATGGTAAGTTTTTTTTTTCTTATAAAAATATAGAACATACTAAAAACGCAAGTGTAGCCTGCTTTTGGTAGCAGTGAAGATGTACTTATAAATAAATATTAGTGACTAGTTATTTATTTGCTGCTGGTATTATATATAATTCATACAATTGTTTTCAAAGAAAAAAATAGCCATAGAGAGAATAAAATGTCGATAGTTTGGCAATTATTGTTAAAATGTAACAATTGAATAAATATATAATTTCCCAACACTCAACGCTAAAATGCATAATGATATTGAAATATTGAGATTTATTTATTATTCAACAATCCCCCATATTTGTGACCAGACAGAGATTACAGTCTGTCTACTGACAATCTTATCACTGTCTACCATCGGTTCATGCATTCATGTGTCTGAGAGAGCAACGAATGACAACTCTGCATGGGAGATTGCAACTTGAGCTGAAGTGAAAACAATTTTACTACACCGATCCTGATGTATTTTTAAAATTTATAAGTTTGTCTTGTAACTGTATAATTACAGTGTCATGAGTTCATAAACATGTGATATAAATGCTAGTTATGAAAAATCCATCTCTCAAAATTCATAAGTCTAAATATACCTTTCGATTATTTAATGGAGAACAATACGCCATAAGCTATTGTAAAAGGGATTTAACCCATGGATTTTTAAAATAATATGTTATCATTACATATATAAACTGTACACATTGTATATAGCAAAAACTTCTGCGTTAGAGCTCTGTCATTCAGTAACCTTTCTTGACCTTTCCGTCCCCATTCAGTTAAAAACATTTCTAATTCAAAAATTTGATACAACAGATTAAATTCGTATAAACAAAATCTAAAATATGATATAATGATTTAAATTCGTTTATACATTACTAATTATAAAATGTGATATAATGAATTAAATTCGTTTATACTATCTATAAAATTTGATATAATGAATTAATTCCGTATTGCCATTTAGGTTCCATAGTGCTATTTTTTTGATTGAACGAATTGCCAAATTCAATCAATCAATATAAACTTATTATAACGAATTCAAGAACTCGTTTCAAAAATTAATTATTTATCATGTACACCTTATACATTACATGGGTAAAACTGTACTTCAATCACACGACGTATTCATCTTGGTTTTGTTCAGGAAATTGAATCGTTTACTACTGAACAAGAGACATGTTATTTAACATCAAGGTACTTGTAGTCCATTTTAGCTAGCACCAGAACGAACTATTAATTTTTGTAGAAGACAGACAAAGAGGCCGCTTTGCAGGCTTTTCCCTTTACCTGTCCAATACTACTAGAAAAGAAGATGGTCATCTGTGTTATAAAGACGGACCACAGTTACCTCCCTTAGATTTCAAAACAAGATGTATTGGACATGCCTCTCATGTAATATTTTACAACGAACGATTGGACGGGACTGTTTATCCTACAGGATACGAATCATTGAGTTTAACAGAATTATGTGAAGTAACAGTACAAGGTTAATCAATTTATGCGATTACAGTTCTCTGAAAACATTCGCTATATTAAGACATTTTAGGACTGATAAGTGAATAAAATACATATGCAATTTATTAACTTTGATTAAGCATTGACAGAAAATTCCTATGATAATTATATTAGTGATAGAATGTTTGATAATGAATGTTCGTGAAATTTATCCAGTTGTTCTAGATTTTTAATTCACATGTTCTACATAAACTATTCAATGTTTCTTTATTTCAGGTTGTGCAGATCAGGGAACTTACGGTGAAACATGCGAAATGAACTGTCCTGAACATTGTCAAGAAAATAGATGTGATATCATAAATGGAACCTGTCTGGGATGTATGCCTGGATGGACCGGAAAGATCTGTCAAACACGTAAGATCTTTTTATACCTGGGCTGTATTTGATAATTTAAGTTTTAGTTATATACTGTTAAGATTCAGAAATAATAAATTTTATTTATATGAGTAGCGTGTGCTGGTGGATCATATGGTTTAGAATGCAAACATCAGTGTCTAGGGCATTGTAGAGATGGTCATACTTGTAACTCTGTAACAGGAAATTGTGATAAAGGATGTGCTTCAGGATGGACTGGGTCACTGTGTAACGAATGTAAGCCTTTTCTAAAAAAAAAAAAAAAAAAAAAAAAAAAAAACATACTTACATTTATCATAAGAACTCATTTGTAGCTTTTTTTTTTCAAATTTGCGTTATTTCTATTTTCATATTCTGACATATCTATGCAAATTCATAATCAGACATCTCTGTGCAAAGCAAAAAAGATTGATTTGACTTTCTTGAAGCCTTTATTTAATTTCATACACTGATATGCACTGAACTGCTATTTTTAATTGTTTGAATGAGATGTTTTAGTCTTTCTTATAGAATGTTGATTGTTAACATTGTAACAAGCCTATTTCTAAAGTATTGAGAAAGTAATACTCATCACAGTATCTGAAAGTATCTCATTATCTCCGAATAGTTTGTTTTGTTTGTTTGTTGTTTGTTTAGCGCCCCTCTCGAGACTTTTTTCACTCATTTTCACCACTTGCCGGTGGAGAGCTGCAAATTTTGACCTATACTCGGCACTCAGGACCATTGAGCAGTGAAGGATCTTTTCTGTCGTGCCAGCACCTGCTGCGACACGGCACCTCGGTTGATAAGGTTTTATCCGAAGGACCGGTCTGCACGTCCCACCGTGGAATTCGAACCCGGGACGTTAGGATTTCCTACTTACTCCGCGACTCTAGAGCAGACGCTGTACCCACTGCACCGCGCTGGCGACTCTGCGAATAACAACGCAAGTTTTGCTGAAATGGGGATTGTATGAGGTCAGGAGAGAGAGAGAGAGAGAGAGAGAGAGTACTCGCTTCTGTAAAAATCTCTAATTTTAAGGTATACCTGTTTAATTATGTTTTATCATGTTTGCAAACGTTATCACAATCCTGTTACCAAAGCTATAGGCTTAAGTGTATAGGTTCAGCTATGAAATGGCTTCAAAATGATGAACTTGCACTTGCGAGAACGCTTCTTTACCGGAATACAAGTTTTATTTATTTCACTAAAATGATCGATAGACTGAAACAAATAGGACACAAATAAAACACCTCTTCTTTCCTGATGAAATGGACAACTTACTTTCAAAAGAAAACTCAAAACGTTAAATTCCAATGGAATTTTTAAAGCTTTTATGTGATTCATTGAATCTCTTCTAATCCAAATGCTCAAAGAGGGTATGCTATGAGCAGCAATCGTGCGTTATGACTTGTGAGTAAAACGTTTGGAATGCTTGCCATATTTCAAGACCTCTTTGAAATATTTTTTATCAAATTTGTCTCAAAGCATCCTTAGGCTAAGGGTATTCATTTATTGAATATTAAAAGACCATTAAACAAAGGAAAATAATTCGAGAAATATAGAAGCAAAGTTTCCAAAGGCCGTAATAGTTATCTGAGTATAATACAAAACTTGAAAAAACTTATATGAAAAACGAGTTGATCTTATGAAAAAAGATACATATACGTTACTTTGTTTAAATCCTAGATGCCCGTTGCAAACGAAAAGAGTTTGAAAGAAAGAATACATTTTAAATGTATATTCAATGGTTCTCAACACTATGACGAGAAACCTTGACCCAGTGATCATCAATTTCACAATTTTAGTAGGAAGCCCACTGTCTATTGCAATCAGGCCAATGGTCTCATTGCTTGAGGACCAAAAGTGAAGATTTTCGAACCAGTAAACTTTAAAACATTTTAATGGTTTTTGAACAATCCATAAAGTCCAAGGGGGGGGGGGGGGGGGGTTGATTCAAACATATGTTTTAATTGGTTTAAATTTTTTCAACAGCTTTAGTAAAGAGCAGAAAATATTGCATTTTAATATCCGCAATTATGTCTCAATAGAAAAAATTGAAAGAACATTCTATTGGGCTATGCATTTTTAAAGGGTTTTAACTCAGAACTCTAAAAAAAGGAACCTAGAAAATGTCAACATAAGAATACTCTTTGCTAAGGTAGAATTTACCCAAACTTTCTCGTGAAGTCAAAATTGAAGACTTGCTAGAGAAAGAAATATTTGTTTGACACATCATTATTTATAAATAAAGATAAGATCCAAAGCAGATATGCATTTTGGAGAGAGAGATATGACGATAACACAAATAAGCATTCAACCAATCATTCTTACTCTTTGTTTAGAAGACTGATTCAGTAGCATTATTAGTCAAACCAAAACACGTCTTTGCCAACAACATAGTTTACTTTACTCTGCTAAGGGAAAATAACAAGGTGAATCATGGTCAAATGTCTAAACATAACAAATTAGGAGCAGATCAAACACGGACCCCTGAGAACATCAGAAATGAGATAAGGTGCCATTGAATAGTACAATTGAAAACAAAGCATTCCCTATCAAACAGTAACAACCTCCATGAACCCTTTGATTTGATCTAGTGACTGGAATAACCAGTAGACAATTCAGTACGAAAATAATATCCTTTGGTTAACATCCTGCTCACAACAGAATGTACTTGCATACGTGGGCATTGTGTCCGCTATAGGATCTGCGAAATTTTGATTTCAAAAGGCGTTGTTTATATTCTTCCAACATTATCGTATTTGTAAGTACTTAGTCTGCCGCGGATTAGATTTTGCACAAACACAAATCAAGCTCTTGCGTTTTGAATCAACCAGGAGACTTTGATACTAGGGTCAGGTCCTACATCAATAAACAAAGATCGCTGAGTTAATATAATATATAATTTTACTGAATAATAAATTTGTAACTAAAGTTGTAAGTTTGTAATCAATGTAAAACGTCAAAATATGAATAAAAAATAATACGTGATTAAAATCACCTCTTGAATATTTTGTTGCACGGTATTGCGGAAGAACATATAATAGACTATGAGGTAACATATCGAAGACAACAGAAGTTGAATCAAAATTAAGCTCCGTTTCATTTTTACTGAAGAATATCGAGACGGTTCATACCTGTGTACATTGATGCATAGTTAATTTCAATTCTTATCTAATCTCTGTTGTCTCAAGCGATTTTCTCCTATACAATCTTTCCAAATTAAAGTATGTTTGATTGATTGATTGATTGATTGTATGTTGGTTTTACGTCCCATTCGAGAATTTTTCACTCATATAGGGACGTCACCATATACCAATGAAAGGCTTCAAATTTTGACCTTTACTCGGCACTCAGGGCCATTGAGCAGTGAGATATCTTTATCGTGCCAACGCCTGCCGTGACACGGGGCCTCGGTTTTTAAGGTCTCTTCCGAAGGACCCGCAACTTTCACTTCAAAGTGCCGAGCGCATGGCGAAGGAACAGTTGCTACCTATTTTTTATCGACTTAGGGGACACGCGGCCGAGATTCGAACTCACGACCTCCCGATCACGGAGCGAGCGCTCTACCGACTGAGCTACCTTGAACGGTCAGGTGTATTTGAAGTGTTTATAATATAAAATAATAATCTCACAACTAATGACAGCTTGTATCAGTGGTCGCTATGGTCCAGATTGTGTCTTCAACTGCAGTGGACATTGTTTAAATAAATCCCCTTGTAACCGGACAAATGGACATTGTGACTCGGGTTGTAGCCCTGGATATACTGGACCATTTTGTACTAAAGGTATACCTTAATTATTGTGAAGGTTTTCAAAAAATATGACATGCATTTAAATCATTGAATTGATTTATGATATTTTCTCTTCCATGCCGCCCTCAGAATGTAAAGCAGGAAAGTATGGAATGGAATGCAGAAATTCCTGCAGTGGTCACTGTTTGAATGAAATACATTGTAATCACGTGAACGGGACTTGTCAGTATGGTTGCGAAGATGGGTATTTTGGACAACAATGTTTCAATGGTATAATATTCATTTTTAGCTTTTTGACATTAAGCATTTAGTAATGTGTGGATGTGTTTTTTCAATTTATCTATATCTGAATTTGTAAGCTTGTGCACCTGGCATATTCGGTAAAAACTGCTCTCTAACTTGCTCCACAAACTGCTCGAATACCTGCCGAAATACGGATGGATTCTGTAAGTGTAAACCAGGCTTAATGGGTTCTCCAATCTGCAATAAAGGTGATTTTATGTTTTAGATTTATGACAAAACCTGCTTTGACTAAATATATCTTTATATTGTAATATTTAGAATTTTGTATTGGAACATTTTGTAAATTATATTTTTCCTGTTCATTTAACACGGCATAATACTATTCATAATCTTCTAAAGAGCAATCATTTATTGATACCATATTTATTTTTCCCAATGAATAATTTTGTCATTATCTTAAATGCAGTAATATCATTATAACAGAATGTCCACATAAACGGTATGGTAAAGACTGTGTTCACTCATGTAGCACTAATTGTGTCAATGAGACTTGTAATAAATACAATGGAAATTGTTCTTTGGGATGCAAGGATCCGTCATTACAAATGTGCATCCAAGGTGAGTGAACAACAGTAAAATTCCTAGGTTAATGAACAACATAATTATTTACCTAAAACAATATATTTTGTAAATAAAACCTGCTAAAAATAAAATTGCTAAATATATATCTTATTTAATACTCTAGTAATTTTTCCTACATGTACTTGATTGGCTTGAATAGAAAAAAGTATTATACTTAAATATTTATTTACTTTTTCAAGCGCCAACTTCACTTCATTCTCAAAGCACATCCGCGGAAACTCTCACCATTGGAGGGATTGTAGGTGCATTTGCTGTTTTGTGCACCTTATCTGTGTTGATTATTTTGTACATCAGGTACATCCCCCCCCCCCCCCCCCCCCGACACTAGTATTCTAGTAAGGCATATAAAATGGAGTTTAAACTTTATTCAGTGAACATATTTGCACATAAAAAAAAAAAAACAAAAAAAAAACAGTGAAATATATCAAATACGGAGTATTTTAATAGCATTGAGTATACGTTAATTGGATATCCTTTAATCAAAATTAAATTTAGTAACTTTTGTTTTACCTACAGAGTACAGGAAATAATCTTTCCGTTAGGTTACGTTCTATAAAGTTATTTTTCATGAATTATCACAAATTATTTTTTTTGTTTTACTTGCTTTATGCAAATTTTTTTTTTTTTTTTTTTTTTTTTTTTTTTTTTTTTTTTTTTTGCAGATATAGAAGGAAAAAATACATAGGAAATCGAACAAAAACTGATGAAGGAATTCGAATTTCATCATTGAAGTTAAAACGTAAACAGACAAAAGGGATTTACTTTACAACTCTTTCCGACGAAAATAAACTATTGAATGCAAGCTAGCTCCAGTTTATGTTATAAATTCAAAATATATACATGCATATCTTCAAATTATGCAAATAACTGATATGTTAAATACGTTATTTTTTCATTATTTCAAAGAAATATATTCTGCTGAGGATCACGGCAATATAAAGGAAAACAATTCCTCTGATGTTGAAAAAGCTTCGGATGATACCTATGAAACATCGAAGAGGGGTCGACCAACTAATAAAACTATTCCTGTAAAAAATTTAAAAGTTATTATAGCAAAAATGGCTGCTGCAGAAAATGCTGGCTTCAAGCAGGAATACCGAGTATGAAATATTTGTAAAATTGATTCCTAATTGATTAAACATATAATTATGTACTTTTACACACTAAAGCATTGTTAAACAGTGCATATGACCATATGTTCTTTTTGCTTTAGGATATTCCAAAAGGTGAACTTCATCCTTGTGAAGAAGGCAAAAAACCAGAAAACCGGCTTAGAAATAGATACACAACCACATTCCCTTGTGAGTCTGACTGTCCTAAGAATCCAACTATTTGCATATATTAGTAGTTAAGATAAGATAATGGCGACTCGTATTTCAATCTTTTTGATAGATGACCACTCTCGAGTTGTACTAAAGACATCATCACCAAATGAAGGAGATTACATCAATGCTAATTATATCGAAGTACGTAATTTATAAATATTGACAGAACTGTCATATAATGTTCTTTAAATACGATTATATATTCACACATGAAGATAGTGTGCACAGATATCATTTTCTGATGGCATATTTCTAATTCAAATTAGTTTGATGAATTAATTTTTTAGATTAAACAAAAAATAAGATAATAGGAGACGAAAATGAAGTTGATATAGCCATGTTGAAAATCCACAAATGTCAATGGATATTTTTTAGCAATATACTTGACTAATTTGTAGTAATACCCATGAACATGTATATGCATGATAAATCAAATTTCGAACGTTCATATATAAGTTACTCGATGGAGATTGAGATTTAACTTTTGATGAGGTAAATGTATCAATATACCTATTAATTTTCAGAAAGATGTTTCACTTTTCTTGATCAATTTTTGAAAGAACAATCATTGTACTAAACATTTATACATTAATTCCTATAGAAATTTAAACAATTAAACTATATCAGAAAGTCTCTAATATATACGTATATATTTTAATTGGACCTTTATACTTTATATACAATAGGATGCATTTGGAAATCCATCCTACATTGCAACACAAGGTACGTCAAAATCACTAACTGGGACTTATTTCCTAATTTATATATATATATATATATATATATATATATATATATATATATATATATATATATATATATATATATATATATATATATATATATATATATATATATAATTTTTTTTTTATTTTGTAGAAATTAACAACAGCTTTATCTTTCACGAATGTTTCAGAAGAAAGAGAGCTTTTCTGAATAATATTGATTATAATTTGAAACAATCCTGTGCGTGTTTGTCTGGATTGAAAAATAAATTTATGCTGTATCATCTGATAATGTATATTATTTTTAACAAAGTACATGTATGAATAAATATACACTATGCCTAATATTTAAAAGTTATCAACAATTTTAGACAATTCTTGTTTTTACTTTTCCTTTTTGCGGCCTTGACCTTCATGCCCTATCCAAAAATATCGATTTCTCTTAGTTACTTTGAAAACAGATCGGTACGGAGAAATCAATATGCCTTTTAAAAAAGTACAGTCATTAACCTTCTTTCCTTTATCACAACTAATTACTCTGTTGTTTTTATTTTGAAAAATGATTTCCTCTTAAGTTCATCTTGTAGTAAAATGGTTTTACATTAAGCATTTACATTGCATTTTTTTTTTACTTTAGCAAAGAACAAGAATACCAGCCCTATGACCTAGAATTTTCACACTGACATAAATCAAAAAAAATCTGAATTTGTCCCACAGCTTTTGAGCTGTAAAAGATAAAAAGTTTTTATTTAGCATGTAAAACATAAATTTTATTAATGTTCTTCTTCTGTTTGCCATTTGACATATTTTTAAGGGAATTGATTCAGCTCTTTCTTTTAAGCGCAACTGATTTATAAGCTCAAATGTGCTTTCCTTGACATCCCTTTCCTCGGCCCTTTCTCTCTGTCCCTTTAAACTTGACCAATTTAAATCCCTCTTAAGAACAAATAGATCTCTTTTAATTTGAATATTTAAAAAACCCATGTCATTGATATAATAGATCTGATAAAATATGACAATTTTTTCTTTATTTTATTTGCGCATTCTTTGGAGGCTTCTTCATGCGCAAGAAACAGCCATGGGAAAAGTGTACAAATAACAAGAACAAAATAAAAACTTAATTTTCATAATACATGTAATAATTTTCTTTTTTAATTTAATTTTGACTGGAAATAATTTTGTTGTGTTTTTAATACTAAATTGATAGAAGTCATATTTTATTATCAATTATTATTAGCATTATTATTATCAATCAAGGGGTAAACATACATTTATTATAATTATGAAATCACCTATATCCTACTTCTAAATTAAGGTCAGATGATACGTTCCTCAAATATTTGTTTTGGATATCTTCGTATTATATGGAAAATATTAAAAAATTTTAATACTTTCTGATTTCTAAACTGGTTTCCAATTGTCTTTAAAAAATTGAAACACTAAAAAATGTGATATTGGCAAATTAAGTTTTTTTTTTCCAAAAGGATTTTATAGGAAACAACATCCTCCGGTATCTTGCACAAATGCCTGGTAAAGTACCTTAATTTTTTGCGAGTAAACATGTTAAAGTAGCAAAACTTCAATGACAAAATCTTAGAAAAAATTATATATTATTGAGGAACGTATCGTCTGTCCTTAAAAGTTCATCAAACTATTTTTGCTTTAAATTAAATAAATAAAAAGGTAAATGCTCCTTGCTCTGTATAATTGAAAAGAAGATGAGCTTAATTGATTTTTTATAGCAAACACAGATATCACGTTGTTACAGAAATATTATCATTCGGATTTTAGGTCCCAAACCAAAGACAATTTCTGATTTCTGGAAAATGATATGGCAGGAGAATGTGTCCGTAATTGTTTGTTTGACAAATCTAAAGGAAGGAGAAAAGGTTTGTGAATTATTGTTTTATTAATTCAATGATATAGTCAAGACATTGTCCATCATTTTTTTGTAAATAAATTCTTTGCTTCAAATTAATATTTTTTAATCAACACGAAATTTTTCATGCAATTTGAATTTGACCTGCCAAGCAACTTGTTAAACAACTGGTTTGGTCTCTATCAAAGCTGATTCAAGTCAATGTTTTGTTTTAATTGCTAGGCCCAAAACAGTACATTACAGTATATAATTCCTTGAATTAATTTGTCACATTAATCTAGCTGGGTGTTTTGTCTTTCTAGAATAAATGTGCACAATATTGGCCAAGTACCAATGACAAACTTATTGGCGATGTTCATGTAAAAAATCTAGAAGAAAAATGCCATGCTAATTACACAATAAGGCGATTCAAAGTCAACAAGTATCTGGTAAGACTTGAAAATTATATCATATTTTTTTGTGAATGAGTTTAATCTGGGGTGATTTGAATTACAGTAACTAAAACGACTTAATCTACTTTCATAGTTAAGGAGGAATGCCACACCAAAATTTTATCGAATAGATCTTTAAGACATCCCTTAAAAACTATGGTTTCAGCAATGAAATACCGTTATAAGCTCTTAATTATTTTATAAGATTTTTATTTTGGCATTTTTTCACAGAAATTTAAAAAAAGAATGTTTTATTTGCAAAGAAAATGCTTCAAGATTTAAAATTTGCTGTTAGAGGGTTTTTATCTCGTATTTAAATTTCTTCCAAATTAAACACTACTATATTCCTGAAACATATAATTATCGTTTAATAATGAAATAATTTTGAAAACGGTCGTAATTAGAGATAAAACGCCTGTAATATAGGATCCTCGAGGTAAACATCTCCACTAATTAGATAGGCGTCACGTGATAGTGAAACGTCATAGGTGTCAATGGTCAATTAAAACTCGTAAAGCCTATCGTAAGAAAAATATATTGAATAGATTTTTACGTTAAATAAATAGACTTCACAATATGGCTGGCTGAAATTTTGACATCGGCTATATTCCTTTGGTTATGGACGGTCAACATTTTATGTATGAACGTCTAGCAGAGAGAAATAACCAAGAAAATATTGTTACGATACTTTAATATTATTAATAGATATTGCGTCAGCTGATGTTGTTATTTTTGTTATGTGTGACGTCACTCGTTACCTTTTGTGTGATTTCCGGAAGCCGAGGAACACCAGCACGCGATCGTCTGCGAGACAGGAGATTCAAGAGACTTTAGACATTGGGCACAGGAATGGTGGATGATTTCATACTTTGTAATTCGGCTTGAGCTTGGGCTAACCGTGGAAGTATTGCCGTGAACATAGCGAGCGATGTCCGCGGAGCTGGAGGACTTCCTAACAGCTGAGTAAATTCTGTCCGCGAATTGTTTATTTTGTCAATTTGTGTGTAACTGTAATTGTGTGTGCTTATTTATTATTGATTACATATTTGTTTTACTATTAAAATTTGTTAAAGTTTTAATTCGTTTTGACTGGTGTTGTTGTAAGTGTGTCATCGGGAGCCAAAAATAGATTTGTGTATTCGGCACACGTTACAATATGCCGACAATTGGAGAGGTCACCGAAGACGAAGCCGTGGACTTCTACTGAACAGAGCAAATTACTTAAGTTTAACTTCGTAAATATTTATAAATATGGGAATTTTAAATTCCCCTTCTTCATTATTTCAATTATTTATATATAGATAAATCCTGAATATCTTGTATCTGTTCCAGCAGTGATTATCATATACTCCGTGAGCCATTACGAAGTTCACAATATTAATTCCCACTAGATTCTATGCGACTTTTAAAAATGCGTGTTGGAATTTTTATTTCAAGAAAGGATTCTTTTCCTTAAAACATTTTGTAGAACAGAAAATTCGGGATCGGGCATAAACGATTGTTCTGAATGGAGATAAACGTCGTCGCGTTTGCAGAAAAGACCTCCCTTTCTTCTCTCGACCAAGTCCAGGAAATGTGGAAAAAATCTTCCTAAAACCTTTCTTGTGCACATTTGTGCATCCTAAAGCCACATTTTATACCTTACTAGCTGTTAATTATCCAATTATCACTTAATTATTTTCTAACAGGTTTAATAGATGCAACAAATGAGCCCTTTTGTATATACAATAAGTACTTCGCTTGACCAGGATTGACACCTATGACGTCAGAGCAACGGCGCGTAACATCGGCGATCAAAATATGCATATTGAGAAACTTTGAATCGACGAAACATCAAAAATATTGATTTCCTAGCATAGAAATTTAAAATATGTGTTTTAAATAACATGTGAACTTTGTCATATCAAAAAATTTTGAGACGTGATAAAAACTCTTTTATGAATGCATAAAATGAATGTCTAATTAAATATATATAGAAAGGCGGAATAGACATTTTAATTTTTTAAATAAAAAATTATTCATGAAAATAAAACACATTATTTGTGAATATTTTTTTAAACCTATGGATAAAATCTTCATAAAACTAGTCACAACTAGGGGGAACATATTAGTCAATTATATTTTTAAAACATTGAAATGAAAATGGGAAATTTTAGGGAAATTATTATTTTAATATTTTGACCAATCCCGATCAAAATTAAACTGATTCTGATCAAAATTAACACAAAATAAATAAAATAATAAGTTATTGCCTTTTTTTTTTACGTATTTACCACTAAGAAATCTATTTGATTGTGAAGTTCAATTACTTTTTAACGCGTATTATACCTAAACTAGTATTCTTGAGAAAATGTAATCTATTTCCAATTATTATAAAATTCGGGTTGGGATCAGTTTAATTTCGATCGGGATTTGCAAAATTTCAAAAATTCATTTCTCTAAAATTTCGCAATTTGATCTCAATATCTTTTTAGCTCTACTGGTCAGAGACCAGAAGAGCTTATGCGATAGTAAGGTGTCCGTCGTCCGTCCGTCTGTCTGTCTGTCTGTCTGTCTGTCCGTCTGTCTGTAAACAATTTTTCAAAACGCTACTCCTCCTACAGTTTTGGTCCGATTTCAATATAACTTGGCACACAAGTAGACTACACTAAGATACATAATTTAGTGCATCGGTTTTTGATTTCGATGGACGGTGTTGCCATGGTTACTAAAAATAGAAATTTCTGTGAAATTCCTTTAAAACACTACTCCTGCTACAGTTTTAGTCTGCTTCTAATATAATTAGGCATACAAGAAGACTATACTAAGATACATAATTTATTGCATTGGTTTTTGAATTCGATGAACAGTGTTGCCATGGTTACTTAAAATAGAAATTTCTGTGAAATTCCTTTAAAACGTTACTCCTCCTACAATTTTGGTCTGATTTCAATCTAATTTGGCACACAGTTAGAATACACTACGATACAAAATATGTATTTCTGTTTTTTTTATTTGGGTGAATGGTGTTGTCATTGTTACCGGTACTAAAAATAGAAATTTCCGTGAAATACTTTCAAAACGCTACTACTCCTAGTTTTCATTTGATTTCAATATAACTTGTCACAAAAGTAGACTACATTAAGATACATAATTCTATTTATTGTTGCATGTTGCAATGTTTCAAATCCAAGTGCTACTTTTCTTTTGTTATACAAACAGACCAGTAGAGCTACAGTCTCATCAGAGACTTCTGGTTAAAATATGATTGTCCGACATATTCTTTGTAGCTGCGACTTGTTTTTTTAATATATTATTCATAGGTTTTGAAAATATTCATAAATAATGCGTTTAATATTCATAAAAAATTTTTAGTAAAAGAAAGAAAATGTCTATCTGGTTTTTTATATATATTTTATTATATATTCATATTATGCATTTATTAACAGGAAATTTTTAACTCGAAGGCATCTTATTCTCTTATTCGCAAATAAAACATTTAGTTCATTTTTTTAATAAAAATTTGGGGGAAAAAATCTAATCAAATATTTAGAGCTTATATCGGCCTTTCAGTGCTGAAACCAAAACTTAACAGGAATGTCTTAAAAATCTATTAAATACAATTTTGGTGTGGCTTTCTTTCTTAAAGTAATTTTGAAAAAAGAGATTCTTGCCCAATTCATATATAAGGCTGGCATATGTATCCATCATGGTATAAATGAAATTACCATACCATAACGATTCCACACTATTAAATCCACAGATAACCTCAAAATGGGTCACAGGCTAACTCCTAAGCACATATTTTATTGAGTACATCAACACAGATTACAAAGACAAGCATAAAGTAGATTTGACAATGGGAAAAAGGAAGAATCTGCAATTTATTATCTGTAAACCTATTTACATTAATTTCATAATGCCCTGTAAAATAATTGAATAATGGATCTGTTTTTGAACAAAGTGTATTTGTATTACATTGATAAAACCGGTCACGGTAGTCTAGTGGTAGGGCGATCGCTTCGTGATCAGGAGGCCCGGGTTCGATTCTCGTTCGCCGCGCTGCATCAAACCTAAGACGTAAACATAGGTAGTGACTGTTCCTTAGATTGCCACATAAAGAAAGGGTTGGGTATCAATATAATATAATATAACACATAGCTGGGGGCGAAATAAAAAGGATGTTTATGTGTTTTTTACAAACAAAACTGAGAATCAGTGTATCCAACGTTACCAATAACTATGGAAGCTTTCCCTTGGTGTAAATTTTGATATCTTCAAATTAGAACCCTTATTGAAGAAAGCTCTAATATGAAAACTTTTGAATAAAAAGGTACAAAAGCAAAATATAATTAATATACCGTAAACCAACTATTATTCGCGTTTTCTTTTATTCGCGAATCATCATTTTGAAATCAATTTGTGATAAGTAATTTTCGCGACTGAGAAAATATTCTCTTCAAATACAAAACAAAATAATTGGTTCGCGTCGATTAATATACGCGAGTTATAGTGGGTCGTGAGACTCGCAGATATTTCTTGCACGCGAATAAAAGTTGGTTTACAGTAAATAAACGAGTGGTCTGTAGTGGGTTTTGAACTCTAGAATTAAAAATGCTAATAAAATATTCTCTTAGTTCTAACGCAAATGTAAACAGGACAACAAAAACATCAGAAATAAAAATTAAGAGCGGCTGAAATCCAGTGACTGTGAACTGTTATCCCTTACCCTAATTGTGAACAGTTCAGAATATAACATATGTATTTTTCAGCAAGGCTATAATAAAGCTATTTGACAATGCTGACAAATCTGCTTATATAAATACCGGCGCATGTTTCCGGCGCATGTTTCACATGAATAATTTTGGAAGTAGTGCAAGACATTGATGTTTTAAATGTAAATTCGCTTCCGGGTTTGAAAGAAATTTACATCCTTTTGTCGGGTATGAACATAGAAATAGAACTGTCTTCATACGGTATCTCTTAAACTCTGAAAAGAAAGATTACAAGGCAATATAAAAAAAATAATTTTATTAGATATGAAAGGTAAGTAGATATCAGCAAGTTACCCAATTGTTAATTTTTCAATGAAACCATGTTTGAATTTTGTAAAAGACAAAGAGCATTAAAATAGTAAAATGAAAGCATAATCACATATGTAGGGTAAATATAGGTTAGTTAATACATAATTATGAATGTCACAGTAAAAGAAACGTATTTTTGGCTCAAGTAAGAACAACGCATTAATATTAAGGAAGTTTAAAGTTTATTGACCGTACTCTCTTAAAATTATGGAAAGCAAATTCAACAATAATGTAAAAAAATGAGTTTGATAAAGTCCTGATAAGATGTTATCTTTATCTGTCATTTGCAAAATATGTGATTATCCAAAATATTTCATTTTGGTAAAATAGTAAAATATTTTGTCATAAAACATAAGCAATGGAAGGCCATTACTTTTTGCTAAGTTGAATTTTCAAACAATTTAAAATATTGAATCTTGAATTCAGTATATTTTAAATTATGCAATTTGTAAAAAAAATGTTGTGATGTATTTATTGACAAAATAGCAATATTAATCTAATGAACCTAGATGCTCTTACCCCCTGTATGTGGAATACAAACTTATCTAGGAATAAGAAAGCAACAAAATTTAATTCATCAAAGAACATTTATGTCAAGTATATATGAGTTTTAGAAAGGGCAGTTGCTATTTAATACCTGAAGAAACAAGTGACAAGCAATTGTCTTTTTATATAAATATATATTTTTTATATGAAGCCGAAACCGAAATATATTTCTTCTTCCCATGAATCTTGGTATTCTTTCCCACCAAAAACTTGGGTTGTTTAATATATGAACATCTGCTGTAGACTGGAGAATTTTCGATTTAAAATTACATACAATTCAAAGCGACAATATGTCATTTGTAGAATCAATCGATAATGGCAATCAATTAATTATGTTAATTGTTCTTATTTTACTTTTTAAAATCTGAATGCATCTTATGCTATTTGTCAATTGAAAGAGAAGCCAAGCTTCATAACCTTGGTTAATGTAAGTTCGAATTCTTGCAAGCATAAAGGAAAATTTTACATACCCAAAACTCGTCTTATAAACGTTTTAGGAACAGAGCACAATTCTGAAAAAAAGTAGCGCATCTTCATTCTATTGATTATGAACAAATAGCAGTTGTAGAACCCTACCTATTTATTTCTCCAAAATCCCAGAATCCTTTACGATTATTGTCATTTATAGTTTTGCAAACACCTCATCCCATACTGTCTCAACCTTCATTTTTTTGCCTTGCGTCTTTAATTGCATTTGCTGGACCATAGTTTAGGCCATGCGAAAACCCAATGACAACGAATAAGCACCGGTATATCCTGGCTAAGAATCCTGCGTGCAGACCTCTATTATACCCTCCGATCTAGGGAAGGTGTCATAATACTTCGAATTTCCGTCATATGCGTATTCGCTTATGTTTTGTACTAGAAGTTTATCAATCAAACGTGTTTACGATACAATGATTTAAAAGTCGTATCCTACTCATGATTTATATCAAATACTCTACCCCATCATTAAACTACATGTGTAGCATTAAAGGTCCAGTGTCTTTTTTTTAATTATAAACGTTACTTTGTCAGCTTTCAAAGTTACATTATATAGTATCTAATCAACCAAAACAGTGGATAATTACATTTAAAAATGATGTCGTTGCCGTTTTCCAAATATTTGTTGAGTGAAAATAAAACTTAACGAGAATTAAGTCAAAAAGCTATGTAGAGCGGAGAAGTTTAGACGCTGCAACAAGTGTAGCAAAGATAAAGTATAGGAAAATTAGAATTTTTAAAAATTATTTTCAGCATGATTCTGTCCATTTTAAGTGTCTTAAGAAAATCTCCTTTAATAATTTTTAGGAAAATATTACTTCCAAAATTTACATCATATCCTTTCTATGACGTCATATAGTATTAAGGATTTTGCCGGATCGGATATATATATTTAAAACGTATACATATATTTTCATTACATGTACTGTTAGAGGACTACATTCGGTAATAACCAATATCTGCCCCATACATCAAACTTTAGAAGAAAAATCTAACATTATGTTCAAAATGGGGGCGGGCTTCTGCACATCAGCCAGTACACCAGTATGTTAAATATGACGTCAAGATAGGACGTAAATTAAAAATTTCCATGATTTTGAGAGAAAACTGTATTCTGCGTCCATATTTTGATTGAAATGCTGGGGTAAAAATAAATTTCTCTATAATAGTGGTATGTCACTATTATAGTGAGATTCCGCTTAATTTTTTGCCATATTTACCCTCGATTTTATCAAATAACATGCTGACAATAATTGGGACCCTTACATGTTATGAATCTAATTTAATTTTTTGCCGATGCGTTTAATAATTCGAACACACTTTTTATAACGGAAGTCACATTTTTAATATAGCAACCAATGATTACGGTAGTATTCAAGAAAGACTGAATCTCCATTTCTCTGACACAAAATTCACCAGATTTTAAGAGAAATTAGTACATGTATAAGAGTTAACTTTTCAATATACATTTACATTGTTAGCTTAAGCTTAGTAAATAAAAGAATGTACTGCTGCGCTATCAGAATTTAAAACCTTAAATTCTATATTGACAAAACGTTTCTTTTTTAGTCTTAATATGAGAGTAGACAATCCTTTAAAGAAATTCGAACAGCGTAATGCATTCTCATTCCCGTTCATTTCTTTGTTGTATCATTTAAACATACACTTGAAACTAGGGTCAAAATTTCATACCGTTCCATCGTCGGTATTTTATGATGTATCATTGAGAATTCGGACGTCCGTATTTCCTCATCATTGGATGTGATTTCCTCCACGCTGAAACTACTCGAATTCATAATTCATAAATACATGTAACTAAAATATAGTTAATGATACACTGGTTACTTTGTGTTCCCGGTTCTTTAAACGTGGAGGTATCTATAAAGGAAAAAAAAATAAACACTACATACTCTGGTCCTTCAATTTCCATCTTGATTTAGAATAAAACTACATCTCAATTTTTAAAAGTTAAATGAATACATGTTTCACCAAACAAAAATGTAGCAATCATATTTAACACTTTTTCAACGTTATTGCATTAGTAATTGCAATGTCAATGAAGTATATCAATTATTTATTAATTAATTAATTTCCATGAATCAAATTTACCTTAGCTATCTTCTGATTTACACAGTAACCATAAAACAAAACATATTCTAGTAATTTTTTTCACTAACACGAAACACTCTATGTATATGCAATTTTAATATTATTAAATTTTATTAATTGCATCTTTTAATAAACAGCATATTTAAGTTTTTGTTCTGTGATTATAGGAAAAAACAACTAGGGAGGTCGTGATGTTTCACTACACAAGATGGCCAGACCATGGAGTTCCTGACCCACTAAGTCTTGTTGTGTTCCATCGTCACGTGATGAGACTACCAGCACAAGACTCTGGAACATATATTGTTGTACACTGCAGGTCTGAATTCCTGATCATTACTCTCTCGTTCTCTTTCTCTCAATATGTGTCAGTATTCATAATGGACATTTGTGAGAAGCACTGACTTTTACAGTCGACGGCTTACCTGCCTTAAACCTGCCTTATGTACGGAGGTATGGATTTTACAATAGACAAGAAAGCCTTAAAAGTGGTTATAGGTATGGTGTTAGAGGCACTAACATTTACCAGTATGCAATCAACGTAGAAATGATGGGATTTAGAATTACATAAATGACCTTATTCGTGAGGGAAGGGGTAGTATCTCCTTTTAATCTCATTTTTTGAGCGAATCAAATAAGGAAGACAAAACATTCCGGAATGAAAACTAAGCAAGAGTTGATCAATGTGGGAAGGGAGGGGGTTGAGTGTAGGGTGGTTGCTGTTCCCTTCCTAGACAGCGTAATATGTGTTTTGAAATGGCCCATTATTATCGTTTAATTAACTGTTAAGCTTAATATTTATATCACAAAAAAGCTTCCATATATTGTCCTAACGTAAAAGTAAGCCGTCGATTGTAAAAGTCAGCGCTTCTCGTAAAAGTCCATTAATGCCAATCTAAAGTGTCTATTTAGGTATGTTCAAAAAAATATCTTTTACTATACGCATTTACTGCTCAACATTCCAGTAAAGCATTCAGCAAGAAATAAACAAATTCTGAATAGACCCATAACCCAACTATGTTTTGCTTCTTTGATTTGTTGAACACAATGCACTTGTACTTTGTTTGTTGTTTAACGTCCCTCTTGAGAATTTTTAACTCATATGGAGAAGCCACTACTTGCCGGTGGAGGACTGCAAATTAAGACCTATACACGGCACTCAGATACATTGGGCAGTGAGGGACCTTTTTCGTACCAGCACCTACTACGACAATTCTGCGTCTTCTGTTGATTTTTTTTTTGGGGGGGGGGGGTATTATTTTATTATTAGGTCTTTCCACCTTTATGTGGAAAGACCTATTGGAATTGTTTTGTTTATAAGGTCTTACCACCTTTCTGAGGAAAGACCTATTGAAAGACCTATTGAAATTGTTTTGACTATTACTATTATTATTCTTATTATTTTTTCTTCCGCTGTTTTCTGTTTCGAGGTTTATCGAAAAGATTTTTTGTTCATCGTAAAGGTCATAAAAAGTTATGAACAAATTCGACCCAACGCATATAACCTATGACCCCTTTCGCAGTTATTGCCCCTTTCGCTAGAAACCTTGTTATCACTACTCCTCAGAAACCGTAAACCGTAGAGGTACAAGACCTTCATCAATGTCTTCGACTAACTCAGAACTCAATTCAATCAATTCATTCTGAAAGTATTTGTGGACCCCTTTAATGAGTTATTGCCCCTGAAAGTTTTTGATGATTAGAAATAATCAAAAAAAAATCAAAATGATAAGTTATAAAGACTTGGGACCAAATTACATTCTTCGACCTCTGACCTTGAAGTTTATGTCAAGGTCAAAGGTCAAGGTCATTCAAAGTATAAGAAATTTAGATCTTTTATAGCTCTTTTGTCTTTCAACATATTCTGTATATCTTTGCATCTTTAATATGTGCTGTTAAGATTTCATACTTGTCCCCTTAACTTAAACCCTTTAAAAGATATTGCTCCTTTTGCAAAAAACATTGTTATCGCCACTCCTCCGAAACCGTAAACTGTAGAAACACCAATTCATCACTAATGTCTTCAGGGTCTTCAGACACAATTTCAATCTATCAGTGCGAAAGGATCTGATGACCCCTTTTATGAGTTATCGCCCTTTAACATCTTTGCGCTTACATTTAAACCTTATAACTATAAAAGTAAATCAGAGGATTTTCGATAAACGGCCACCTTTTTCATGGTGAAGCTATGAATGAATAAAATAAGCTTCTTCATATTGGAGAAAACATCTCTTTTATTCAATTTAAAATCATATTGACTGGCTTTACAGGTAATCGACAGTGACAATTAGCCGATTCACTGACCACATACATCTGTGGGGGTATATCGAGATAACTAATACTTTAAAAACGGACGTTTGTCCTAAAAACAGGGCAGGGGGTGACTGTATGCGTCCTCGACATTACATTTATGTGAAGAATTTTACATATCAAGAAAAACGTTTCTGAAAAAAGTCTAGCGAAGAATCAAATGAGATAATTCAAAAATTGACTGTACATGAGCTGCAAAAAGAAATATTTCTTTTAAAGTCCTTTAGCATGATATACATTTTGTGAACTTCAAGTAAGTTTAAATTCCCCTGTAATATTTCAGCGCAGGAATTGGCAGAACCGGAACGTTCATTGCTTTAGACGCCCTCTATCGGGAAGGGGAGAGAAATGGTAAAGTCAATGTACCAATGTATGTCAGGACCATGAGAAAAGACAGAATGAACATGATTCAAGGAGATGTGAGTGTGTTTAGAAGAACTACTTACTCCTGATCTTTCTTTAATATTTATATATTTAATTGTAAGCTTTCCAGATGATATCCATTACAAAATCCAGCGTGTGTTGTCAGTTTACGCTGCATGTGATCAAGTGGTGTGCTCATATTTCTTATCATTTCATGTATTTGATATCAAAATTATTCAGACATATTGCAAGTGTGGATGATGCTTTTGCTAAACATTTTCCTATACACAGTACATGTCAGAGAGCACTACAGAAATGAAATTCTGGGGGAAAAGATTTTTTTTTTTATAACCGAATGCTGTCCCATTGATACAAGATATCAAATGCCATTTGTTATAATTTTAATGGTCCTTCCCATCTATAGCTCGAACCTTTTAAATGGAGCCAATCCGATTTTGAAAGAAATACAATAATACACATTTAAAACGTTTAAATCATATTTTACAATATATATTTTTTCGAACTCTTAACAAAAGAATTTAAGTTAATCTCTGGGAACCTCCACTACAGAAATGTAAATATTGACTGTATATTTCAGATGATGTGTATGAAATGCAGTAAATTAACTCAATTTTAAGTAATGTCTTGAGAAAAAGGAACATTTTTCCTACAGCTATATTTTAATTCTTAAAGACAGGTGGTAAAAACAAACTTTTTCTTTTCAAAAATCAGGATAACAACTACTTAACCATGGTTGTATAAGTAAAATGAATTATTCCAATGTCATAGATTTTTTTTTTCATTTAAGGTTTCAAAATAATGTCTTACAAAGTGAAAAAAGTTGTATAGATTTAGGGTTACTGCAATAAAGTAGAACTTAAAACAACATAGAAAGTTTAAAATTTTCAAATATTTTAGAAATTTAATACTTGCATCATTTACAATCAAAATAAGTCAGAAATTATATACATGTATATCAATCCAGGCATCCATTTTTTGTATCATCTGTATCTAAAGCTGAACACGATTCGTAAAAGGAATGTGTCCGCCATATTCGATGGGTTTCTCGCTATATCTGAGGCCCCCTATATAAAGCAACTGACTTGGTCACTGTTCAGTGTAATCAATCGTCACCGGTGAAGACGTACGTATGCTATACATCACTCGGTAGCGACAAAATGTAACTGTGTACTTCTTCTAATGCAGGAGAGTAAGATACTAAAGAAACAAAGAAACACGAATACACGTAACTGCAATAAAATGTAAGCAAAGATAATGTAAGATAACCAGAACGAACACGTGTCGCCATTCCACGCCGATACCCGTGACAATAAAGCAATCAGATGTAACGATTTCGAAGGGTATATCCCGGTGCTGATATCGTAGCTAGTAGTATAAAATATGGTGTATGCCTATTTACGAGTCGTGTTCAGTTTCAAGCCCTGCGTAATGATTTTGATTCCCTTCAGCCTGCTTTTTAGGGAATGGGGGGGGGGTGTTAGCTTTATTATTCAATGTCAATTTTACTCCATAGGAACGATATATAGTACACAGTATCAAGATGTAAACCCACTGTTTTTTATGGTACTCAAAAGGCATTTAACTTCAGATTGCAAATCATTGACATAATATTTCCGGTATTGAATTACCTGCACGGAGATGTTTATCAAGTCACTTAATACTCTACTTAAAATAATTTCCTTGTGTGTATATTTCCGTTTAAACTCTTCCTTAATTAAAGAAAGAAAACCTTGAAAAGTTTTTGAAACAAAAGAGTGATTGTACTATTCTTTATCGTACAAATAAGGTAGGTTTTGTATTGAACAATTTCGTAACAAATGATATCCATGAGAATACGACACTTATATATTGACACAAACAAAAAATCGACATATCTTCCTTATAATGCCGCTGCATGCATATTCTTATACCTTTAAAAGCAAATTGTAAATAAAGAAAATTTGGAAAGGAAATGAATCTGTATGATTAATCCACTGGTCTGAAGGCAAACTTAATTAAAGTTATTCAACAGGAATAATTTCCCTAATGGCATGACCAATAAGAAATAGATGTAATAATATATTGAATTTGCAATCATTTTCCCATTTTCCTTGTATTTTTCTTACTTCCTAGTCTACTGTATTACAGTGCTTTTTACATTGCAGTTTTCCACACATGATATTCATGTACAACAAAATCATAAGCAAATATTGGCAGGTTTATATGACTATTCATTTTAAGTAAAATAACTTCAGTCAAGTCATGATAAAAAAAGTAGAAAATTAAAACAACCTAAGAGTAGTTCAAGAGATTCTTGTTATTCATTACTTTCAATCTTAAATACGTCAATGTGAACAAAAACAAGTGCATTCGACTGAATGAGAAGATAAAGAGTAATAAATGTTACATTCTGTTTATGCCAAAAGTATAAAATTTGTATGTTTTCACTAAAACCCCACTCTTATTTTTAGGATCAATATAAGGCAGTCTACTTTGCTCTTTGCGAATCATTCAATGGGAAATCAAGATGCTTGACTACAGAGTTATTTTTACGAAAACTGCAAGAACAATCGTGCTATGCCAATTGTGGAGAGGTAGCAACAAAATCCTCCTTGACATCAGAGTTCCAGGTGATATCACGATACATTTCAAAACAAGAGCCAAATTTATTGGGAAAAAAGCCCGATGAAAAATTTAGTAAATAAAAGTATTCGAAAAATAATTGATACCTTTCTTCTTTCTATTCAGAAAATCTGCATTTTTTTTTTTCATATTGTTAGTTATTATAAAAAGTAAAGAAGAATAATTTAAATGCACTGAGATAAGAAATTCAAATATATAAAATAAGCACATTTTATGCATCTTTTTTCATTTTTTTTTAAATCGGATTCATACAGAATTCTCTTCTTTACTCAGCGGCATTTAGTTAAAAAGAAGTTTGATCAGTATTACCTGAATGTTTCAAAAATTAAAGTAACAATCATCGATAAAGTAAATAGCGTCCAACGTATTGCCACAAATATTGTAGCTAATTTGCCATAAAAGTGTTTTTTTTTAATTTTGCCTTCCTTTTAAGTTCACGTTAATAACGTATCTGAAACTTTTGTAGGAGCTACTGTCTCTTCGGAAAGAATACGATCAGAAGGATTACGAAACTGGACGTAACAATAAATCTGCAAACTACACAGACAACGTTTTGCCTCGTATATTTTCATATTCTTTTACCCCGTTTAATCAAATCTTTTCAGAGAATAAATAAACACTTGTTTCATTGATTCCAAATGAATTACACAATCTTTAGCTTTTTTTATCTTTAATTTAACTGGTGAGTGCAGATCTCTTTACACACTCTTTTTTTTCCAGTTGATGAATATCTGTGTCATTTGTCCTATTCAAAGGGAAGGAACACCTACTACAACGCTGTTATACTTCAGGTCTCATTTATTTACAAATCTTTTTATGCTTAATGTCTGATCTTTAAATAAAATATCCGGGAATAATATAAAAGTTCATGGAAATAATTGATAAAAGGTTTTATTAAATGTAGCTGAGCGTGATAAGAATATAGTTATGTCAAACAGAGGAATCTTATCCACATACATTGTAAAGGATGACTGTACTTAACTGAGTTTTGGATCTTTTTTATCTAATTTCACTTTTGTATATTTACTAAAGAATTCTGTCAATTTGGCACAAAATTTAAATGTTGAAATGATTTAAAACTGTGATATAATAAAATAATTTTATTTAAAATTAGAGCAAAAAATTGTAAGAAAATAGGCCTGAAAGTAGACTTGAAAAATATCAATGACATAAAAAAAATATGAGATCACTCTTTTCTATTTCCCTCTGTATTCTGTATGGCACAAGTACACTATTTACAAAGGTTTCAAAACGAAATTATAATATGAGCACACCCATGTAAGTAAAGAATATTTTAAATCAATGCCCGAGAATTTAACGTGTTCGAACATAGTGTCCTAGATGTAGTTAGCATAAAACATGCTACCTTACAAGTCACAGAACGGAATTTAGTATTCACAGAGTTACCTGAGATAAGAAATCACGTGTTGAATTAAAATATTCAACATGTCACAGCCCTTCGCTACAACAGTGAGAGCGAATGTAAGAAGAAGCAGTTTTTGTTTTTTGTTTTTTTTTTTTTTTTTTTTTTTTTTTTTGTTTCTGTTTTGCTTTTAAACAATTAACGCATGTTTTTCTATTATTCTCCGTTTGACCAAACATAAGTACATGTAATGCAAATATACAACTACTGTTAAAATTAGAACAATGCACAACCGTGCGTTGACTATGTATATAGTCAATAAAAAAGTGTGTGTCCTCATTATGGAGAGGAGATTCAAGAAATTGTAATGACCCCCGCCTTTGAAAACAGATTCGCACTTCGTAAATACATACTTTTATTGAATGCAGTTACGTAAAGTTGTAGATGAGATGTTATTGATCATTTCTGCAATTAAAAGAAAAATGCTTGTTTTGGAAGTTTATTTTGACACAAATTTTGCATGTCCTTAAGTGCAATCTTCCTTTGATAATGTTTGCGAACATTGTATCTTTGTTCACGATTGATGTTTTTAAAAATAAAACTGTACATCAAAAACGATAAAAATAATATATAATTGTTATTTCTTTTTTTTTTTTTTTTTTTTGTAAAATCTATCTTGCTATGAATGACTTATAGAATTTATATTATTCATTATTGGAATATAAACTTGATAGTGTTATTTTTAGATTTTTGTATATTTCTAAATGAAAATAAAAAAATTATTACATAAAAAAATTCAATTTGCCTTCTAGTCTTTCACAGAAAACGATAGTCTGATAAGCGCTCAGTACCCACTTCCTGACTACGCTGAAGACTTCCTTAGACTCATCAAGGATTTTGATGTCAGTGTGGTTGTTTTTCTGTGTCCATTGAAGGATTTAAAATCCGTAAGATCCGTTATTATTCAAGAAAAAAAATAAGTTAGAATGATGTGTCTCGATTCAGTTGTACTTTTAATGATTTGATAGATACGAAGACACAACAAATACTAGATGGATATAAATACTTAGTAAAAAGATTGTAGTTACTATATCTTTCACAACATTTAAGTTAATTTTGACTTCTTTATACTACATAATTTCTTTTCTCACATGTTTAAGTCTTCTCTTTGGGTTCCTTCGAAAACTGATCATAAGACTGTTGGATACTTTACACTTAAATTGACTGCTTCAACAAGTTCAGCAAATTTGTCGACAAGACGTATCGATCTTCAGCCAAAGGTAAGGTGTATTTGAAAATTTTATACACACTTTTTTAGCGTATCTCATCCAACCTCCAAGGTGAGTATTCCTGATTGAAGAATTTAGCACTGAATTCTATATTGGCGATAACGTTATACATTTTAAATTTTTCAACAACCCCGGGAATAATTTCAACTACACTTGCCACAAAGCATCCTAAGATAAAGGAGAATCAAGTTGATCAAATGATGAGTTAAACCGTCTTTTCGGGGAAATAATAAAAAAAGAATGGGGGATGGGTTTCATTTCACAACCTCTTCACTAAAAATTGCAAAATGTAGTTGAAAGATTACTTATATAGTGTAGATACAAATGTGTTAAAATTTTAAGCACTTGTAAGAAGAAGTAGTTTAACATCGGTTCATTTAGAGGGAAAAATCTTCTTAAATGGAATGTCAAAATCAAATGAATCATATCAAAGCATTTTCATTTTTATTGCTGATTCAAATTTCTTGAAACTGTGACCCTTTGGAGCTCTTAGTCAAGGCTAGAGTACGGTAGTGCATGGCCAAATTTAAGGATCAAATGTCTTTAAAAATCTTCTCCCCAGGATTAACATGACCAGAACTACTCATATTATTGTCAGCAATCTGGTAGTTTAGAATTCGAAAGATCTAGTCAGGATAACGACCCTTTATCAAGACTGGAATAATAAATGAGGATCAAAATTCTATGATAGTAATATTCAAGAAATTGCTTTTCAAAAGACCCTCCCATTAAGATCAACAGGGTCATAGTCATATTATATTGAACGTATGCAAGCATCCACATGTAACACTGATATCATGATCTTTGGGGTTAGGATGAGGCCACACTTCATGAGGCAATGTTTTATTAAGTAATTTTTGATATCATTCTACACAAGATGAACAGAAACAGATAAGTCGATTTTATATGAAAGCATCACTATATAGTTTAAAACCATGTTTGAAAAGTGTATGGGCCATGGGACAAGGTTTGGGCAGTAAAAAAGCATAGGAATTGCAAAGGAATTTTTAAATTAAATTATTTTTCAGAAAGTATAGCAGGATCACTTTCTGTCATATTTACAGGCAATTATCATTCTTTTTTGGCGAAGACGCATTTGGTATGTAGATCATGACCCCAAGGGCTATAGGAAAACACAATTATGGATCAGATTTAATTATTATAACGTACAGGAGAAAAATCTGAATAATTTTTTTCACAAAAGCACCAGATATAATTATAAGTAGTAATACGTGTATACAAGCACGGCAATAAAATATGCAAGAAGAAAAGTTGAATAGAGTCCACTTTGTATGGGTGATACCACAATAAAGTGATTATGTAGGGATAAATTTGTTTTTAAAATTCTTTTCAGAAGACAGAGAGGCTTCAATTATTTATTCAATATTTGAGCATTTCCAAGTATGTCGCTACATTTTGTTCTTGTCGCTCCTGGCAATGGCACATATAGTAGACAAAGGTTAAGCATGGTTATATATACCTCCCCCCCCCCCCCACACACACACAAAAACAGTAAAAAGAACATATCTTCAAGAAAGTAGGGTTACAATTATTTACATTTATATGATGTTGATATGATGCATCTCCATGTATTGAAGATCAATATTCGTTCAAAGCAATACTTCAGGGACTGGACTGGGACACAATATGTAAAAGATGATAACTAAATTTCAGTCCAACATTTGTAAAATTGACATTAAGCCTTATTTTACCTTAATCAAAAGTGTACGGAGAGCTTACATCTAATCTGGAAAAGTAAGAGGTTTTCATTTATGTACTTGCTTTTTTGTTAAGAAGTGAAAGTTGACATAGGTGAGCATTGAGGACGCCGAATGTCCTATTCAAACATAAATACACCTGTATTGGCATTAATCATAATTCATGTACATGTATATTTATTAAAAACGCATTTATTTAATTCAGGGATTTAATGACACAAGGATAACTGTACTAGAATGTAAGACATGGAAAGAAGGTAAAAAGACAGTGAACAAAAGAGCTCTTCTGGATGTTGTTAAAGAAGCAAAATCCGAAAAAATCAATTATAAGGGAAAACTTCTCATTTTGTCCAGGTAATGTAAAACAGTAGCATGTACGCAGGATTTAAAGCAGTTCGCTGCTTATGTATCGCTTAAAATATGTGACAGGCTCTTTTTTTGGGAAATATCAATTAAAAAAAAAATAAGCTAAATAGTTGCATACAAAAATATGTCACCATGAAATCTTATAAAGTTTTTTTTTTTCACAAAAAGTAACCAGTATTTTTAATTTTATAATTATATCTTGATAGTGATGGTGCCACACGTTGTGGAGCATTCTGTGTGGTCTATAACGCTCTGGAACAACTCTCTATGGACCAGGAAGTGGACATCTTCACCATCACACGACAACTTCAGATTCGTAGACAGGAGTTTGTGTCCACTTTGGTCTGTGTATCTGAAATTCTGTTCTTCTGAATTATAAATGGTTTCAGAAATTATGCAGTCAATTTTGGCCCGTGTATAAAATGATCATCACAGTGAATTTTTACTAATTTTGACATGCTGTGAATTCCTAAATAAACATAAGGAATTTATTATTGCGTTATTTCGCGAGAAGCACCAATTCCAAAATAAAATATCTATGTTATAGTTTTATATTACTGAAATACATGTTAAAACTCTTCATTAATAGTCCATATCCGGATTTATATTGATTTTTTTGAATTGGAATTCTTAAGTTATTTCGCGATATTAAGTATAAGATATCTATAGTCCGTGTCTTTTTCTTACAAGCAAGATAATGACTGACATCTGTCTGGATTTATTTGAACTTGAGCTACATTGAATAAATTAAATGTACATGTATTTCACTTTCTATAACCTTCACTAGCAATTTCGTTATCATATATATTGCTTGCCAATATTAAATGCTGAATGGATCCGTTCTTTATTTGTGTGTTTCAGGATGAATACCAGCTTTGTTGTGATGCTGTTGCAGAATACATTCAAAACGACTGTGTCTACGCAAACTGTTAGCCTAAACAAGGAAATCTCAACAGACACTAAATGTTGTTTATGTTTTGTTTTGTTTTGTTTTGTTTTTTTGAGTTGAATGAATTGCGCTATTAAACAATTATTTGTCATCACTTTTATAATCCTTGGATTTCACATTATTGAAATAATAATGACCATGATTAAATTATAAATCTTATTATTTTTAATTCAATAATTAGCAATGTGTTAGTAATAGTTCTAGTGCATATTGTAAATGTTATTTTATAATGGCTAGCTGGCTACTACTTTAATTAAATGCTTTGCAATAAAGAATAGATTGATTTTTGCAGTATAAACATTTTTATTTATTTGAAAGGTATTCCTGTTTTCCTTACTTAATTGCAAGTTAGAGGTTTTATGCGTAGAAACACACTTTTCACTGAATTTGAAATTGACTGTAAAATGAAAGCTATAGCGACTATTCTTAATGTGGGATCTATATCAAGTATTTATAACAGAACACTATCTTCTCTGTTATGTTTTTCTTACAATACAGGGTTTTATTGTACTTTTTTTTTTTACATGAAATAAGAATTTGATGAATTTTCCGACCTGTACTTAAAATTATCTTGTCGATTTTTCTAGATCTATAAGCAATGACAATGGAGTGTTCCATAAATAAAATAAAATTACTTCCAAAACAAAACACGAATATTTTTGTCTATATCTTATAAAACTAAAATCTTCGGATATTAAGGGCATATTCTATAAAAAATTAAAAAATCAAAAAATCAAAAAAAAAAAAATCCGAATGCATGGATTGGTATATATTTTTGGACTATTCTGATTGTAAATGATGCATATATCATATCTGTCGCATTTTAAGAAATTGTAGAGCTTTTATGATGTTCAAATTTCTTCCTTTTACGAGTGTTGATCCAAAAGTAACACCTCAAACTGCTATAAAATGTTTAATAATCGAATGTTATCAACGAACTTTATACCAATACCTCTATTTTGTCTTATGTCTTAAAATTTCATTCAGATATGTGCAGTATTTTCTAAAATATTAAACCGTTCACGGTAGCTCAGTCGGTAGAGCGCTCCCTCCGTGATCGGGAGGTCGTGAGTTCGAATCTCGGCCGCAACAGACCTAAGTCGATAAAAAATAGGTAGCAACTGTTCCTTTGCCATGCGCTCGGCACTTGAAGTGAAAGTTGCGGGTCCTTCGGATGAGACCTTAAAAACCAAGGCCCCGTGTCAAGGCAGGCGTTGGCACGATAAAGATCCCTCACTGCTCAATGGCCCTGAGTGCCGAGTAAAGGTCAAAATTTGAAGCCCTTCACCGGTATATGGTGACGTCTCTATATGAGTGAAAAATTCTCGAATGGGACGTAAAACAACATACAATCAATCAATCAATCTAAAATATTAAGAGCCCTCTATACACTGCACACCAAAGAGATTCATTTTTTTATGGCAATAATCTGCCGTTTGATCTAGAATAAAACAAATTGAAATGTACCATCAAGCATTCATAACACTTTAAAAGGACAAAAACAAAATAGATTGAAGACTTTATTTGCAGCTATTTTGCTTACTTCAGTAAACAACAGTGACTTCTGTTCATCGGTACTTCATTGTCTTTGAACATTTTTTTTTTTCTGGGGGAAAATGCACCCTATGTTGTAAATGCTCAATATTTACCTCTTTACAAACGGTAAATTTCTCAATGTTCAAAAAATCTTTTCCTTTAGTGCATAGAGGGGTCCTTAGTATACATGTAAGCACAATGTTGGATATCGTCTATCGTCGCAAGAATTATATACCGATGTCATTATGACGTTTCTCTTCGGCACTCATTTTCAGTTCATCCACACTAAGTTCTAAGCAAAAATGAATGAATTTAGAAATAACATTAAAATTCAAATAATTCTAATACAACAACTCAAAACAAGACGTATTATAGCGAAATGGCAGTTAAATTATCAAAAGAATCACGTCAAAGGTTTCATAAGATATGCGGATGAACTGAATATACATGTAAGTGCCGAAAAGAAACGTCAGAACGATGTCGGTAAAATTCGATTGACAAAACATAACGTTTATTTATCGTAATATTTAAAAAAAAGTATTTTATATAGCTGTGGACCTTACGACTAAGATAAACATTTTCCAATTCTACAAAAAGTATCTAGGATAGTAAGTCACCAAAATTCTTATATTTCTACTACATGGCAATATATTGTGAATAGTGTTTTAGAAAAAAAAAATTAAATAAAATAAATAACAGAGTTGTAAAATTTTTATCTTAGTCGGAAGATTTTTTGTGAAGAAGGCCACTGAATTATAAGGTTCACTCACCAATTCCTCCATTACGTGCTGGGACGAGAGTAGAGAATAGAGATTATCAAAGTTTAGTCTGTATGATTAAGTAATCGCACACCAGATGGCTAGCTGGTGAGAAAATAAACCAGTGCAAAGGTGGGTAGGATGTATGTTTGTAGATCACGTTGCAAAATGGATGAAATGTGAATATATTCCTTCTCAGACAGTGGAAGTTACTACTAAAGCAGCCATTATCAATCTTTTTCTCACGATAAGAGACATATTAACAAAAAGATATGTTAATTTGTCAAATATATACGGACAAAAGGCAAAGAAATACAACTTCAAAATTCTTAAGTTTAGATTATCCTCAATAAATTTGTCGAGATTAGGCCGTAATTTATCGAGTCAGCCTTTCTTTAAGATGTTCAACAGGCTAGGTTACAAAATTTTATAATAACTACTGGACTTCATGGAAACAGACAAGCAAAGTACGATTGAATACCGCACTGTCTTTGACGTTTTTCCTGCAACATTCATGGCCAGCCATTCGTGAATGAGTATATGGTATTGTTAGACAGCGGTATGAGGAAGTTGTGTTATAAGGAAAATGGTTTACAAAAAAAGTAAGAATCAAATCAAAGTTATTCTAGATAGTGCCAAATGACACAGTTTACAAAAAAGTAAGAATCAAATCAAAGTTATTCTAGATAGTGCCAAATGACACACCGTATCTAAGTGAATGTTCCTGACTTCCTGTCATATATTGACCATATGTAATTATGGATTCCTTCGCAAAAATAATTATCATATTACTGACATTGTCATCGGGAATTATGAAAACATTTGGTTATGGTAAGTACGTAGCTGCAGAACGTAATGGCTTTATATTTTAGTCTTTGACCACACCGCTACAGATCCCGTAATGCACATATTGTGCAATATTTTCTGCTCACTTTGGGGTGTATTTCGTCACTTTCCAGCATTGGTCATTGGTCAATCAACTACGTTTCATCCCCTAATTCTAGACATATCCTATAACCGATATGTATATTTTATGTATCTTCTAACCCTTTCTAGTCGTCTCTGCAGACCAATAAACTCGCTTGTTGCGAATTTAAAAAAAAAAAAAAAAAAAAAAAAAACAAGAATAAATAAGATTAAGCAAACAAGCTTTTAGCCTTGTGTCTTACTGATTATCAGTGAAACTAATTTAAAAGTTACATTGAAAATACAATATGTTTTGGGAAGTAGTGCAAACGTTATATATTTAAAGAATCATGAAATTACAAAAATCTCCCTGTTTTCTGGAACTTTGTACGTTAATTCGTAGATTAAATGGTGCGTTGTTGCAGAAAAAAAATACAACCCGCCTAAACGGCTTTTGTTACTATATATATATATAGAGAGAGAGAGAGAGAGAGAGAGAGAGAGAGAGAGAGAGCATGCTTTTAATCACTGTACAAAGTCAGAGAAAGCCATCTTATTGTTAATTTTATTATCTTTTTTTTTAAATCACTATGGTATAATTATAATTGTGCTGTTTGTCTGTAAACTTTTCACATTTGGCATAATCCTGTTATTAGCATCGCGATGCTAATAATTATTAACGGTTTTTTTTACGTAACGTCAGAAGCGTTAAAAGTTGTTAAATATCAATATTTCATGATTTTAAATGGTTGAAAATAAAATTTAGATAAAAATAAATAATAAATTTGTAATCGCGATACTAATAACAGGAGTATATATAGAGAGACCAGACACATTTACATACTTGTAAACTTATTAGCATCGCGATGCCAATAACAGGAGTATATATATATAGAGACGAGACACATTTATATACCTCCAAACTTATTAGCATCGCGATGCTAATAACAGGAGTATATATAGAGAGATGACGTTTCCAGATATCAAGATTATAAGCTCCACAAGGGGAAGTATTCCCGGGAAAAGGGTTTCTTTGGGGGATTTCATCAGCAAAAAATTGGGCTTGAAGTTTTGGGGGGTATCACTCTAAAAATGGCACATCTAACTAAATTGAAATTCCCAAAACTAATTAGCATATCGATGCTAATAACAGGAGTATATATAGAGACCAGACACATTTACATACCTGTAAACTTATTAGTATCGCGATGCCAATTACAGGAGTATATATAGAAAGAATGTTTACATTCAATACCATATGATCCAGGGGAACATGCTTAGAAATAGGATAGGACATAGAATTGGAAGTAAAAGAAATTAATAAAGGTTTAACAAATCTCAGAGCATATCGAGGTTTGAGGTCAAGTCTATAAATTGTAAATATGATCTTCGAAAAATTAATAGATTTATGTGATAATTCTTATTGTGGTCCTAGAGGCCAGATATTTTTAACAATTCATATTAATAATCTACAGTTCTTACGATGAAAAATATGTAAGAATCGTCCCGAGATCTTTTTCTAAGTTAAATAATGATTTGCAAATTCTCTGGTAACTTTCTTTTAATATTTCAAGTCCCATTTGCTTCTACACTGCACGGGGACGCTTTCGTAATCATTCGACTTATTCCATAGAAAAAATATATCAAAATTGTGTCCCAAATGTTTTTTGTTAAAGTTTAACGTCTAATTGTCACCCTTTTCACTCTCTGAACTCGAGATTTTAGCATAATCTTGCCAACATTTAAATTGATTTTTTATAAATACGATCAAATGCAATC